ACACATCAAAAAATGGAGACACTCGGGAGTGACAGACGTGCCACCCCCGGGCCTAGGCAGGATAGACTCATTAGGAGAGATGGATGCAGTTCGTAATCATGAAATTCAGGGCTCAGACCCACGTGTTTTCACTTCCATTTCTCTCTCAGAGTCCCCTTGTGCCACTTCCCCTACCCACAACTTGAACCCCGCTCAAGCATTTATTGACTGCGGCTCGACACACAAAGTACTTGGTACTAAGTTTGTTGAACGCAGTAAGATCCCGGTCTCAACTCTTGAGACAGCCGGTGATGTATATGGCACCAATGGCTCACCTTGCACCGTTGCCCACAACACCAACCTATATATCGACAACAATAAGGATACGACCAGATTCCTTGTTACAAAAATTAAGGACACTTACAATGCTATACTCGGCATGCCTTGGTTGAAGAAGAACGGACACCACATCGATTGGAAGAAAGGTGTCCTACGGCCCAAGACAGAAGTAGGCCACCTTGCTGCTATCGACCTCGCAACGCCAAACAACACCATGACCCAACAACAAAACAACCATTTGACTTACCTTGCTGCCATCAACCTGGCATCGTCTAACCCAAAACCACCCCGCATCGCCACAGAGCTTGGATGGGGAATGCTAGGGACAATGACAAGGGGGTGGTTAGCGTTGCTGACATTACACCCCCGCAAGGTGAGTGCAATAAAGTTTCTTATCCTTCAATCATTGCCACGGATGACAAGCACCCACATTTCCGACAACAGTTGTTAAACCGCATACCTACGACCGAATCGCCATACGACCAGAACCACGTTGATCAACCGAATAACCTTTCTGCCATCAACATGGCATTGTCCAACCCAAAAACCACCCCGGATCGCCATAGAGCTTGGATGGGGAATGCTAGGGACAGTGACAAGGGGGTGGTTAGCTTTGATGACATTACACCCCCGCAAGGTGAGTGTGATACAAAATCTTACCCTTTATTTGTTGCCACGGATGACAAGCTTCGACATCTCCGACAACAGTTTACGACCCCTATGACCATGACCAAACCACCAAACGACCAAGAACGCATTGCCGCTACAGAGCAGGAAAAGCCTGTAGTGTTGCCTACTCCGAAAAACACCCTGGATGACATTAGCGTGCTGAAAGGGAAAGCTAGGAACTTTGGCGAGGGGGCTCTCTTACTTCAGGAGATCAAGCCCCCGCAATGTGAGTTCGAATTGCCCAAGTCCACGTTCGTTAATACAGATGACAAGCTTCTTTGCCCTGGGAATAGTTACGTACCCACAGTGTCAGCGGCCAGCGCATCCTGGAACATATCGGCGAAACTAGCTGCTGAAGCATCCAAGAACAAAGTCGAGAAATCAGTAGAGGAACTAGTACCGACACGCTACCACTGGTACATCAACATGTTTAAAAAGACGAAATCTATGACATTGCCTCCACATCAAAAATACGACTTCCGAGTGGACCTGATACCCGGTGCGACACCCCAGGCTAGTAAAGTCATACCCCTATCGCCAGCTGAAGAAGTTGCCCTTGATACAATGATAGATGAAGGCTTGCAGAAAGGGACCATCCGTCGGATTACATCGCCATGGGCGGCTCCTGTCTTCTTCACCGGAAAAAAGGATGGTAATTTGAGACCTTGTTTTGACTATCGTAAACTCAATGCACTCACTGTGAAGAACCAATACCTGTTGCCATTGACCATGGAATTGATTGATAGCCTACGCGATGCAGAAGACTATACATGTCTGGACATGCGAAATGGCTACAATAATCTACGGGTAAAAGAAGGTGACAAGAAGAAATTAGTGTTTACATGCAAAAGAGGCCAGTTTGAACCCTTAGTTATGCCCTTTGGACCCACAGGGGCCCCAGGATTTTTCCAATTTTTTATATCTGACATACTAAGAGAAAAGATTGGGAAAGAATTGGCGGCTTACCTTGATGACCTCCTAATTTACACATTGGCCGGAGTAGATCATGAAAAAGTTGTAGAAGAAGTACTAGCAATCCTACAATTGCACAACATATGGCTTAAACCTGAAAAATGCAAGTTCTCATGAAAAGAAATTGATTATTTAGGACTGTTGATCTCAAAAAACAAAGTAAGGATGGACCCAACTAAAGTTTCCGCTGTAACCGAATGGCCGACCCCCAAGAATGTAAACCAAATCCAATGTTTCCTCGGGTTTGCTAGTTTCTATTGGAGGTTCATCAAAGGCTTTTCAAAAGTAACCCGACCCTTGCACAACCTGACCTGTGAAAAAACACCGTTTAAATGGAAACAACCACAAGAAGACGCTTTCCAAACCCTTAAGAAGTCCTTCACGACAGCGCCGATCTTAAAGATAGCTGATCCGTATAAGCCGTTCATACTTGAATGCAACTGTTCCAATTATGCGTTGGGTGCTATACTTTCCCAGAATGACGATGAAGGAGTGTTGCACCCGGTTGCCTTCCTTTCCAGATCACTCGTCCAGGCCGAACGCAACTACGAGATATTCAACAAAGAGATGTTAGCAGTAGTGGTGTCCTTTAAAGAGTGGAGGCACTATCTGGAAGGAAATCCAAATAGGTTAGAGGTCATGGTATACACAGATCATAAGAAGCTGGAGAGCTTTATGCCAACCAAGCAACTTACCAGATGACAAGCGAGGTGGGCAGAAACCCTCAGATGTTTCGATTTCCATATTAAATTCAGACCAGGTTGAGAGTGCCAAACCAGATGCTTTATCTCGAAGACCAGATCTGGAACCAACACAAGATGAAAAACTTACATTTGGAAGCCTACTTCGACCAAGCAATCTGTCTGAGAGTTCATTCGAAGCCGACCTAGACAGTATTGAAGCGTGGTTTGAGGATGAAGATATCATAAATGAGGACGTGGAAGATTGGTTTGAGAAAGACATGGTAGAATCAACAGACCTGGAATTGATTGAGATTGATGCCATTGATAGAACAGGAGACTCACCTTTATGGACCGACGAGATGATTTTAGAATGCATTAGAAAAGAATCACCTCAAGACCCAAGGATTAACAGCCTAATGAATGCAGTGAGTACAAGTCAGTGCAAGGAAGTGAAAACCGCGGTGGATGGCTATGAAGTGCAAAATGGATTACTGTATAAGGATGGATTGATCAAATTTCCTAACAACAAAACTTGTAAACTTGAAATCCTACGAAGCCAACATGAAAGCCTACTAGCAGCACACCCAGGTCGTATGAAGACATTGGCATTAGTCCAAAGGCAATACCATTGGCCATCCATGAAGACTTATGTGAACAAGTTTGTAGATGGATGTGACTCCTGCCTATGAGTGAAGTCATCAAACAAAATTCCATTCGGATCACTTGAACCACTACCAATTCCTGCAGGACCGTGGACTGATATCAGCTATGATCTCATCACCGACTTACCTATATCAAAAGTAAAGAACTGTATACTCACAGTCGTGGATCGCTTGACAAAAGTGGGGCATTTCATTTCATGTACAACAGAAATATCATCAGATGAGTTGGCCTCTTTAATGTTGAAAGAAGCTTGGAAATTACATGGCTCACCTAAAACCATAGTATCTGACCGAGGAAGCGTATATGTGTCCAGATTGACTGAGTCCTTGAATAAACAATTAGGGATCGCACTCCATCCGTCAACGGCCTATCATCCCCAGACAGCAGTCAGACAGAAATTGTTAATAAGGCCGTAGAGCAGTATCTCCGTCATTTTGTATCATACAGACAAGATGATTGGGAAGAATACTTACCTTTAGCTGAATTCGCGTATAACAATAGTACACATACTTCGACAGGCGTATCCCCATTCCGCACCAACCTTGGATACGACTTGTCATTCAGCAGAATCCCATCGACGGAGAGGTGTATACCTATAGTTGAAGAACATCTTCAAAAAATTACTGAAATTCAAGATGAACTGAAAGAATCATTAGCTCAAGCTCAACACATCATGAAGCAAAACTATGACGTACACGTACAATCAACGCCTGAATGGAACGTGGGTGATGAGGTATGGCTCAACAGCCGAAATATATTGACTACCCAAATCAGCGCCAAGCTAGATCATTGTTGGTTGGGCCCTTTCAATATTACAAACAAGTTATCGACATCAGCATATCAATTGAAATTACCAATTAGCATGGGTAAAGTACATCCTGTATTTCATGTTTCTGTACTAAGAAAACACTCACCGGATTTGATTGAGGAGAGGAGACAGGAAACACCACCGGCCATCGAAATCGGGGGAGAAGAGGAATGGGAAGTGGAAGAAGTTTTAGATAAACAAAAGAGAAGCAGAAAAGAAGAATATTTGATTTTGTGGAAAGGGTTTGGGCGTGCTGATGATTCATGGGAACCGACAGAGAACTTAAAAAACGCCAGAGAGATGATCAACAACTTTAATTTAAGATTTCCAAAGCAGTGGAAGAACACCGAAGAACAAGAAGAATCAGGGGGTAAAAGAGGGGCTGATGCTTTTTCCCACCGTGTTTTTTAATGTGAAGCCCCGGGGAAGACGTCCGACTAGCAAGAGGAAGTCGGGGCGTAAAGGGCGGGATAGTGTTATGATCCGTTACATAGGATCACAGACTGTCACAATGTGAGACATGCCAGCCGCGCGCCCATAGGGCAGAGCTTTTCACTTGCATTGTTCTCTATGCTACAATAACAATACTACCTAGTACCCACCTTCCTCTTGCTCTCTGTCCCCCCCAAGAGACCAACCCCGGTCATAACAATCTACAACTGATCAGGGGATTGAATGAGAATTCTGGACATTGACACAAAGATAGAGGGAAAAGGAAGATTGAAGAAAAGTTCTCACTTTATCAGGGTTTAATCAATATGTTTGAATATCCAGCTGACTGATCTTTCATTCAGCATACCTTGTGTCTGGGGACTATTCTTGGCCTTGTAAAATACAATAACATTGATACTTACAGGTTTATTTCATGGTTCTGATGCTAACTTTGTTCAACTGGCACCCACTTCCGTCCCAGTTGTTGAGCTCTTCAAAAAGTAAAAGTGCTGGTAAGCCTCTGCCTGTTTCTTTGATTGCCAGATTGCCAGGTTGGCCTGGGTCCAATGTTGTAGGTCTTGTTGTTCACAGAGTTCCTGCACTTCCATCAAAGTTTCTCCCTTGTGGTTAATTTGATGTGATTGCAATCAAAATGAATGTTTTTGGAAGTCTGGTAACTCCTCTTGAAATCAATCCCAAACAAAAGCACAATGGTCATGGTTCAAGAGTTGAAATTACCAATATCTGTATAGAACTTGGGGTATCTGATCTTGGGATGAACCCAAGGTACTATAACACCTGGTGAAGGAATGTTGCAATACTTTTGAGGTCACCCAGCAAACAACATCTTGGGATGGTCATAGTAATGCTTGATTGCAAGCTTGGTGTTTCTTTGGGGTTGCTTGCATATTGGAGCCATTTTTTGAATCATAGGAGTCAATGGTAAAGAAATCAACAACTTGTCAGGTCACTATACTAATAGAAAGAGCCCTCAAACTTTTTGAACTTGTTTCACTTACATCAGAAAAGATTATTGTCAATCATGAAGTCATTAACAACTAATGCAGCACTTTCTTTTGGCCGTTTGAAAACAACTGCAAGCTGAGTTGTGAAAATCAATTCAATTAACACCACACTGAAGTAGCATAATCAATCATAATATGTTGGATTTTTGGGATAATGAAGATGCAAAGGACAAAAAAACTGGTCATACCAGTCACCTAAAAATCTACATAATGTTAGATTGTATCATATAAGAATGATAGACACAAGAATGGGATAATAAGCATACAGCGGGCAAATGTGTGGATAGACCAGTTGACTCAGAAAGATAATTATGATTGCATGAAATGACTGCTTGATACACACAGGGAAGCACAAGTGAGATTGATAACTTTGTCACAAACAATCTATTTTCCTTGCTCCTGCTTGATACACACAGGGAAGCACAAGTGAGATGGATAAATTTATATCACCTGGTCCCAGTTCATGCTTCATTAAATATTGACAAGCAAGATAATCTTGAACAAATAGAGAATGATGATCAACCCCTGCCTCAACCAGATGCTTCTCAATCAAACCATTGAGATCTGTGATCTCACGAAACTTAAAATAATAATGTGATATTGGATCCTTCAAAGCAGACCCACTGCTTGCATCAGATGCATTGGAATGTTGTTGAGCAGGATGACTGAGGACTTCCTTGATGATTGATGCCATGCTGTGGAGGGATGAGTTGCTGCTGAGACTGGTCTTCTTACACTTCAATTGTTCAGCCATTGTATACTGGATTCCTTTGGTGATATATCAATAGTGACCACCTTTGAATCATTGGAATTACATTTCATCTGATTTGCACATTAGCAAGATGATATTCATGATCCAATTCAATCAAAGCAAAACACACCTTTTCTTTGGCCCAAATTCTTGCCATTCCTGATCATATGTGATAAACGAATCTGTTTGTCTTCAATGTGTCCACATATACCAGGATTGAATGACTGTAATTGGCTTTGATTGGGTGGTTTTTGAATATGACATTGGCTACAATCTTCACAGCCACACTGGTAGTATCAAGGAGTCAGCTGTTTATTTTCCAACCTGTTGGAAGGACAGACACCAAGTATATTCCCAAAATGGACTTCAAGTTCCAGAATAATACTTGGGTCTGGTCTGACACTGAAAAAGTAGCATGTGGAATAATAGTCTTGGGCTCTAGATCTTTCAAGATCTCCATTGATAAATTTCAGTGGATTAGAAATCATGATATATTGTTATCTGCTGAATGACTTTGAATCAAGATGATAAGGTTGTAGTTTGATGAATCAGAAATCCAATCCATCTCTCATACCCTTCTGAACTCAATTTGTGTTGTTTTTTGTAGATTACTATATATCTCAAGGTCAAGAGTGAATCTGTGTTCAAATTTCTGCTTTATTTCTTATCTCAGCTCACCAACTCCTCAATCAATTATCTCACATTTTCTTTTGAACTCGGAATTTCTTAGAATGAAAAATCTCACTAATTTATTATGAAATCAAACAAGGTGCACTACTGGAACAAAGTATTACAAACCAATAATATAACATCACAACCAATGAGCTTACAAAGCATCACTCAAGATCACTAATTCTGCATATATACATACATACAACACTAACGTTTACTTTGTCTACTAATTATGAATACAATGATTAAGATAATGTTCTTCTTTCAATTTTGCTTTGGTTCGTTCTTCTCGAATTCTGGATTACTGATGATCTGATTAATTAAACCAGAGTAGCTGCTGCATTTCCTAATACTACCACATCTCTTTCTTTACATTTTCCAACTGTGCAAAATGTTTCACAAAACGTTATAATCATCATCAGCTTATCATTTATTCAAACAAGATCAAGATTATGAAATCGATTCCAAAAAGAAATCACACTTACTAAAAACTACCTTATTACCCTCTTTCCACATCATAGTCACTAAAGTTTCACCAGGATACATAGATCCAACGAACCTAGCTTTAATGGAATCAATCTGACCAAAAGCCTCAACCACATGTTTTCCACACATTCCAAAAAAACAAAGCCCATGTAAAATCGGTTTTTTAAATCCTCCTACTGCTGCAAAGGCTGGATCAATATGAAGTGGATTGTAATCACCGCTCAATCGATAGATCGCAGCAGCCTTTTCATCAGTCATTTCAGTTGTAATCCTATCAGGTTCTCGATTCGGTGGTTTGTTTAAGGCTGTTGCTACTCCTCGGTCTTTGGCTTGTTTCCTACCGCCGAAACCACCTGCGCCTCGGATAAACACTGTACTTTGGGTTTCAAAAAGTAGTTTTCCTGTCTCTTTATCGTATGTATTACTAACGCTCACTAACGATGCCGCTTTACCCTTGTCCGAAGCCTCCAACAGACGAGAAAAATTTACAAATGTACCACTGGTAGGAATACTCGGTGTTTTGATTGACAAGTATTGTTCACCATGTAAAAGCATCTTTGGATTGAAATTTGGTAGCCAGTCCACTGGAAGGTAAAGAACGTATAAGAACGTCAGAAATATGGAATGACTCTTCGAAGTGATTTGCATGCTGAAAATTAAAACAAGTCCGAAAACGATAACAAAGAAAGCATACATACGTGGTAATCCACTTGATGAATTGAACTGCGGGACAACGCCAAAGGTCGGAAGCACTTGAAAGTCAGGGTGACCCTCAAAGACATATTGAAGTTGTTTTTCATTCACTCCGATCCCCATGTTGTATAGAATGCAATCCCGCTCATTAAAGGTGTATTCATCAGGCTCTGCCCTATATTTCTTGGCCTCCTTCACCAATTGAGAGTCTTCAGGATCTAAGAAATCTTGGTTCTTGAACGCATCATCTATACTAGGTACTGAACTCGAACCTTCTTCGGCTTGAGATCCAAAGTTAGCGATAATCTGTTCCAACGATTCGGTAGTGGATGTTGGATAAGTTGCCTTTTCATCGAATTTGACAACTTGCTGCCATTGTGCGGCTAGATTTTCTGGCGAGACTTGACCAGAAGGCAACTATCCCGCAACTGTCAGTCGGATCTAAACTCTAAAGGGCCAACAAAATATGAAGAAATGGCTCACTGAAAGCCCATATGATCTTTGCCACCTGACAGCTGCACACCAACCACCGCTAACTTCGTACAGCTGACCACTAGTTTGTTCATTTGCTTCACTGGTCAGATAGCCGACCAGCGGAGCCACAAAGTCGGGCTTAAACGCTTGAACTCGCTCCTCGGGCCACACGGTAGCTGTCATCGAAGTTCCGGCGTTTGGGGCAATCGTATTGCAGAAAATGTTATACTTTTTCCCTTCAATTGCCAGGGTCTTCGTTAAGCCCAAGATGCCTGCCTTTGCCGTACTATAGTTGGCCTATTGTGTATTGGGCATCCAATAGCGAACCAAGAAATGATCATCAGGTGGACTCATCTTTGTCACTTAGGTAAACTTGTGTTGCATACCTGACCAAAGTTTCCATACAGACCTACAGCACTAGTAGTGTTGAGTATCCTACCGAACTTTTGTTTTATGAAAATCGGCCACGCAGCATGACAAACGCTATAAGTTCCCCTAAGATGAACCTTTTGAATAATATCCCATTCAGCGTCGGTCATAGAGATGAAGCTCTTGTCGCGGAGTATACCAGCGTTGTTGACGATAACATGTAGGCTTCCGAAGTTGTCTAAAGCAGCTTTCACGACCTTCTGTCCATCCTCGACGGATGAAGTATTGGCAACTGCCTTGGCACCAAGACGCTTAATCTCATCCACCACTTTGCTCGCAGCTTCCGAGTTCATATCGTTCACCAAGACGTTCGCACCAAGCTTGGCATACATCAAAGCATAGGCTCTTCCTAGCTATGCTCAGGTTTTGGAAGAGGAATGCATATGAGAAAAATGGGATGCTTTTGTTTGTTATCAAGAAGTACTCACCCCATTGCCAGCGCCAGTGACTATCACAGTTTTTCCGCTGTAAGTGAGTGGCTTTGAGGACTGTGGATTAGTAGAAAGTTGTTTCCCTTGCTCCAAATAGTCTAGAAAATGGGCGTCTGTGATGTTTTCCGGATACTCGGCCTGATCAAAATTGTTGATCTCGTCAAACCGAGCCATGATCTATAAAAGAAGTACGATACGCATAAAATCATCAGGGCGTGGGCTCAAATCTCAGGGATCGTAGTCTGATGCTGAAAAGGAGACATACTGCGGAAGGAGTGAAAGTATCATCCGCTTTGAAGACTGCACCTCGAGTTCTTTCCCAGCGTAGCTTGCCGTACCATCCAGCTCCAGCCTCAAAAACTTGACCGCTCTCTTTGGTCTGATCAGAGGCTAGGAATGCGACAAGGGGAACAATAGACTCGGGACTTAATTCCTTCAGCATCTCTGGTGGCATAATGGTTGCCGTCATTTGAGAAGCAGCTACCGGAGCAATAGCATTGGCGATGATGTTGTACTTGGCACCCTCTCGAGCCAGCGTTTTGGCAAAAGCTACTTGCGACAACTTGGCAGCTGAGTAGTTGGCTTGTCTGCAGTGGCAAATTTTAGGCAGTCAGTATCCTAGCATACTAGACTCTGTGGGGTACGTCTACGTCAAAGCTAACCCAAAGTTTCCGTATATACCAGCCGCAGAGGTCGTCTGGTGGGACAGATCCGACAAGGTTTCAGGGTCAAAACCATTTCTTCCTAAGGTGGGTATGTAGCATGGCTCACATTAATGATTCTCCCGTATTTCTGCTCGCGGAAGATAGGCCAAGCCGCCTTGGTACAAGCATAAGGACCTTGAACGTGAACCGCTTGAACTGTATCCCAGTCTTGATCGGACATGGACTTAAAAGACTTATCACGCAAGACGCCCGCATTATTGATGAGGATCTGTAATCACAGGAGAGCGGATCGGTAAGTATGATGCAAAATCGTGAGCGAAGACATAAATTAAGAAGAATGACGAATCACATGAATTGAGCCGAATACATCAACGGCTTGTTTGACAATCTTGTGCCCTTCGATAACATTATCGTAATTGGCGATCGCTTGACCTTTACCGTTCGATTTGATTTCTGATACCACTTGATCTGCCGCCTGTTTTCCCATATCATTGACCACCACATTCGCCCCACGAGACGCGAAGAAGAGAGCATAGCATTTACCTAAACCACCACCACCACCAGTGACGATCACAGTCTTGCGATTTGAACCAGGTATGAGTAAGCAAATGATTAGGACTGATCACACTGTTGCAGAACATGAAATGAAGTTAAGGCTCTTATGCTCACTTTCTTAGAAAAGTCGATTTGTGGTGCCATCATGATTTGAGCAAACGATCGACTTGGCAATTGATTGCTGAATCTTCAGCTCGTTCAAATTCAATGCAGTCAGGATGAAAACTACAGTTTGAAATAACACAAACAACATTTCTGGCATTCTTTGATAAACTCATGACGAAACTCACATCACCATCACAGCCGATCATGAATCATGATGACGCTGAGATGAGTCAGAAAGTCAGGAGGTGCTGGATTAAGTTTCTACCTGTTTCTCCTCTCAGATGTGACGGCGTTCGCCTAGTAGGATCGAATTCAACTGCCCTTCTCATCCAATTTAAACCCACCCATGATCAAAACTGCAGTTTAAGCTCAAGACGGCGATTCCATCAATTGTCCAATCCCTGCAAGCTTGTCTGCTAAATCTGTGACAAGACAGTCGCGTAAAAGAAACGACGTCCAACAAATGATGGGACACTTTCAAGTGGGACGGCAGTGTGGCACGACGTGTATGATGATCGTAACTTGGAAACACAGTAATCAATTCATTGTTCAATAGACCGTTAGTATGACGTAAGTGACATGAAGGCATGAAGACTTGAGGAAGAAACTGGAGCACTAATTGGGGGAATACAATCAAATCTTAAGATCGTAGTGGAAGCGATCAAGAAAATAAGAGAGATTGGCAACAATTAGAAGTGATTCAGAAACAAAATAGAAAAGCAGGCGTGGGACGAGTGTCCTTTAGAAAACAACAAAACTTCAAAGACACAAGAAGAATAAGCTAATAATGACTGGTTGGGGGGCGACAGTAAAGTTTGCAAATCTTTATGGAAGCGATCAAAGCAGGATATGTTGCAATCTATTGGAAGTGATTGAGGAACAAGATAGCAAGAAGATCAGCTGTCAGACAAGTGTCACTTAGAAGGCGCTGCCTCCTCCGAAGTCCTGTCCGAAGCCCTGTCCAAAGCCCTGTCCGAAGCCCTGTCCAAAGTTAGATTGAGTGGTTTGTTGAACAATTCCCTGTACGCTTCCCACAGAGTTGAAGAGGCTCATTGGGGAGGAGTTGATGAAAGAATTGAAATTGATGCCGCAGTTTTGGAAGACACCGAGATCGAGGTTGCCAATAACACTACCAATGCTGATACCAAGGGTATTTACCACACCAAAGGTAGCTTGGATGCATGCGTTGAGGATTTGGAAAATGGCTAGAAGGACGAAATATTAGTGAAGGTCCTTGCCGTTGAGTGGTGACTGTGTGATGACTTACATCCCAATTGGCCGAGAGCGCCAGGGAATTGCGACGTGATGATGCTCAACATGCCTTGGACTTGGATGAAGAATTGCGAGATGGTATTTTGGAACTGTTGAAATAAAATAAAGGTGACATATTGCACTATATGAGCTATATGAGCGCTGTATAAGTAATAAATGGTACTCCACTGACTTGGAACCCGTAATCTTGGCCACCGAGCGTGCAGAAAGAGCATCCTCCTTGAAGTTGGGAAACCATCCTGTAATAGTTGATCACCATCACTTGGAGCTGTTGCTGGATTTGGCCGAACTGAATGTTACCACTCTGCCATACTGATGCGGTGTTCTGAGAGACAATAGCTAGACTTTGGAAACCGGACTGGAAAGTATTGAAGTTTGAAATCGGTTGGGAACCGAAGGTGGGGCCGTGACCCCAAGTCAAGCCGTCCAGATTTTGCACAGGTGGGATGCCTGAATTACAGAAATTGAGGCACTTGGCGGTCCTCTGGGATTTTGAAGTACTGATCATGTACAAATCATTCCTTAAGTTGCTAAACAAATGGGAGTGAAATTAAAGACAAAGACTCACAGTGGGTTATCGTCTGCCGGTGCACGAACTTCCAATTTGACGACCCTGCGGGCCTGACTGTGGAAATTAAATCATCCAAATTAGAAAAAGGTAATTACGGAGAAGGAGATGCAGACTTACACGGGGGATGCGGAGGCTAATCCAAAGGCTGGAAAGTAAAAGGTCAAGCAGAGTGGGTCAACACACACAAAGAGTTGCTGGAGATCAAAGAATCAAAGATAAAGTACCTGCAAAAGCGACAAGGATGAGGGTGGCAGTGAGCTTCATGTTGTATATGATGATTGCAAGGGGTGTGAGCAAGATATTGGCGAAGAAATATAGATATCTATTAGGTGATAAATAATGAGCTCGTAAAAAATCTCGTATTCAAGTCGTCTGAAGAAAGAAAGATGGGTTGGGGGATGGTTGTCCAGAAGCCATGTCAGGGGAGCTTTTATAGCCGCCTAGACTCTGCAAAAGGTGACCTTCTGAAGACGGCACCGCCAACATGTCTCTCTTTTTTTTTAGCACATGATGAAATCACGTCAACACATTATGAGAATATCTCGTATGTATGGATGGTTGAGATATTATCGCCCTCCGCTCTGTTCAATTTCATCACTCTGATTTGATCACACGCACAGCTGTAAATAGTCACACAATGATAGGTGTCTGTACCGGTAGGTGTCCGTTAATGACCACCAACATTCGAAGACGAATGTCCCAACTCGAATTGTCTCAGCATAGAGTAGCACCGCAGAGCACCACGCGACGTCAACTTCATCAACTTCCCCCCGGATCAACGCGTGTTGAATTTCAAGTCATCTGTCGAAGTTGTCTAACCAAACGCAAGCATTTTGGTTTTGCTCAGGAATATTGGTCGTAAGGTTTATATATAGAGAGGCCGACGTCCTGATGGTTTGTGTACAAACGTCTCCTTGTAACACTGCCTCGTTCGTCATGGCATAGAGTCCAAGTAATTAGGATCTAGACTCTCACCCTCAAGGTCACCTTTTATGATGGTTTTGATAAGTATGTAAAAATGGGAAAGCAAGGACAAGCAGCGGAGCGTACGTTAAAAGTCCACCAGTACAAATTCCATTCATGTGGAAAGTAATTGAGAGTAATTGTATCTCATCGTGACCGGGTGTCAACTCCTGACATTCCCATGAGTCCGGGAGCGGGAGAGAGCGGTTCCGGGAAATTGGCGTGCCATTAAATTGGGGGATCGTGGCTGTTCCGGGAACACACATATGAGCCGATGATGCTCGATGATGATAGTTATTCGGATTCCCACGTGCGAATCGGGATTCGGCTGATATTGTGCATGGGTTTGAAAACTTTGATGTGAATTCGCGGCAGGGTGACGTGCTGCTGATTTCTCGCGCGAGCAGTCAACAATTGCACAATCCTTCGGACAATCTCATGTGGACTTGATTCCAATTTCCAAAATTATACAACCCCAAAACTGTGTGAGGAAACCTTGAATCAAATCCATCTACAGGCTGGTCATGAAGAGTACTTAAAGGTAGCAAATTTGGGCCGTGTGTCTCGACCATTTTCCAAGCTCCAGTCACCACATGAGAAGTCTCTCAGAACAAACACTGATGCGTGAGTTTGAGGTTGGTATTCATTGCACAGCTTTGTTGCAATTTCATCAAGAATACTTTCAATGAAGTTGGATATACCTACCACATTATAAGGTCGGCTGTGGTGCTTCACAGTCAGGATATTTTTGAATTCAGCGAATAATATTTTTTTGAAATCAGCTCGTAGAATGAGATAACTCATTTTTTGCACGTAGCTGTTGCGTTCATCAGTGAGAAACAAAACAAAGGATGCAGATGAAGTAAAATACATCGTGCAGTCAGATGACTGTGGTGTGTTGTTGACGCGATGCTGAGAAGCTTGCTATCCCAAAAGAGGATGTCAGTTGCAAAGGGCTTGAAATCGTTCACAGCTCCGCACAAGGCATGCTGATGGGTTCATAGCATTGGGGACGCAAGATTTTAGGAGAAATTTCTTTGAATGGCTCTTGATGATCTTACTGATTAAGATCAATTGACTCTGCAAGAAACTTCCCCTAAATGTCTGTACACCAGTACTTTGGATTCATGAAATAGACGGTGTTCGTTGAGCTGGATTTGGTAACCCATTATCCATGAGCATTCTTGCCTATCCGAGATAGTGTAATACATAGACATACCTCAACTGCTTTGGAACCAAGGGCGGTACAGGAAGCATAACATGAAGGCAAATTGTATCTTATGACATCCTTGTGAATGTGTTGTTCGGAAAGCCATCAGGAGAATGGAAAAGTAAGCTCAGACACTGAATCAGTGAACCTATAAATGCTGGTACAATGGATAATTCAACTTCATAATTTGCCATTTGAATCATGTCTGGTGTCATGATCATCTGATTCTGACCTTTCACTGATTGAAGATTTAGCTGTCTCTAGATCATTTATCATCTCCTTTTCAAGCCTTACAAAGTGGATGTCAACATCTTTCAAAAACTCTTGGTAATCTTTTGAAAAAAATCTGCCTATCTTTGAAAGGTAACTTATTGGCTGTTTACGTCTTGCATTATTGAGTTTGTCATACATATCTTCGATTGGACTTGAAAAGCTGATATTTGGCGTCGAGTTTCTGTTTTGCGTTTTGTCATGCTTGGAGTACAAACTTATTTCTCTTTAAGTCTTGCTTCAGACTTAACAGTAGGAAGGAGCAAAGCTTTAGATAATTTGGAAAGTTGATTGTGTTGATACATTTTGAGCAATTTGAAATCAAAGTTTCTATAAGGCTTGGATGGATATGTGAAACCTTTTAAAGCTTCAAAACATACTGTAGAAGGCTCAAGCCGGTTCTTGAGAAGTGGTTTGCACATGTCTTTCTGGACTTGGATATTGAGGAAAGTGTACTATCTCTTTTGGACCAATATTAAACTCTTGATGATAAAGGTATTCTTTTAAAAACTTACAATCCTCAAGTAAGGTCCCTCTTGGATCTCCCCGAAGTATCATTCTCAGCCCACCAAAATATGCCATCACAACCCCTGTCCTTCTTTTCAATTGCCAAATTGACTTGATGTCCAGAATATGGAGTCTTTGGAGAAGAAAAGTGTCAAACATGAATTCTTTTCTGTTTTTTAAACAAATATCTATAAGGTCTGATACCTTTGCGTTATACCATAATATCATTGCTACAGCTCCTTCTAATTTGAGAAAATTTATCACATCTACACAACCATGAAGTGTGAAGAAAAGTGTTTTGCTTTTTCCACTTCATTTTTCAGGGTTTCCTTTGCATGTTGAAAGTCAGAATTTGAGGAATGATTTTGTATATATTAACATCTGCCATGTTGAACATCATCATCAACAATTTTCTTCTGTTTGTAGTTTCTGTTGTGGTGAGATATTTCTGCAATTTTGGGATGACAACTTGACGCTGAAGGATGTATTTGGTTCCCTTATAAACATATTCTAAAGCTTGGTTCCTTATGAATTTCTGTTTGGATTGAATCTAATCCTTGACTGTGATACTCTTGGGCTATTGACATAACTACATAGTCTTCTTATTTTGGAATCTGGAGACTTTGTGTGAATCCCTATATTCTTAGATACAAATTAAGTGTTGGATCCTTGCAAGCCATGAATCCAAAATGTGGTGAGATCTACTCCCGGATATTGATTTATTTATCCCAGTGTATTAATATATTTGTCTTCCATTAGTGTATCCTCAATATCCTTTAAGCATTTTGAGACTTCAGGAGTAGCTTGGTCATCTGCTATGGGTATGGTGTTACTTGTGAAATGATATTCACTCAGAGAATTCTTCACACTTTCAATGTCACCAGTCTTCTTTTTTTTGAAGCAGAACATGTCTATCAATATGATGTGATCCCTAGATCTATCTTTTTGAAGGAGATTTGGGGTGTACATATCTGTGGGCATCCAAAAGGATGCTATAGAAAAATGTTCTATCATCTTCTGCAAGCAAAGGTTCAACACATTTTATTTCTTTAGACATTCCTTTGTGATATGTTTCAGGGTGATATGACAATTCGATATTTTCACACCACAGAAAAAAATAAATGTTTTGAAGTTCATGCATTTTCATGAGACCAGCATCAGTTTGAAAAACCTATGTGATTCTGAATGGAATCAGGTGATGTTGGAAAGTGATATGCTTATACATGATAAAATTCAACAGATATAGGTTTATTACATGTGTCTGATTACATGTGTGATTGTAATGTATTGTATGTAGTTTGATGAGGCTACCAAACTTCTCAAATCGCCTTCGAGACAGGTCAAGCCACCAATATCAAAAGTAAAAAAACTTCAACCTCACCCAGAACCATCGACTTACTCTTTTAATCCTTTCAAACACGACCAAATTATCTTTCTCTTTCTTTAAATTATCATCTATCCTCTTTAAAAAAAGTTCATAAAGATGTCTAACGGTGAAAAAGAAACAAGTCTTATCGACCGAATCGAAGGTGCTGACTTACTTCTAGATATTCGTGATATTGCTTTCAAGGATAGCTTTGGTGAAGATAAGCTAGGACCTATTTTAGAATTCGAAGAGGAGATTTTAAAAGCCGAGTTAGATGTCTGTTAGTAGTCTTTCTTCTTCTCGCTTCTCTCCAATCGTCACCGAAACGCGTGAAAGGGGTTTCTCTTCTCATCACCATTCGCTGTCAAGTCTTTCTCCTCGATTTTGAAAATATACTAACACGCGAAAATATTCTGTTCTGTTACCTAGATAATCACAAGGCCAAGCTAATGGCGCCCATCTTCAAAAAAAGAGGCGAGTTCCTCAAAACGATCCCCGGTCTCTGGCTACGGGCTGTTAGTATTGACACTGATCACACTTACTTGCGATTGATTACATCCTACTGACGTTATCACCCCGCGTTTCAATTTTTTTGCGTCATTTCCGCGCATCAGATGACAAACTTTTCTCAGTTGGCCAATTTCATCGATCCCGTTGATCGCGACGCCCTTGAACATTTAGAAGACTTGACAATCGAGCACGATCCTAAAGACGCTCGAAACGTCACCTTTCATTTCGTAAGCACCTCCCCATCCACTTTTCATCTCGTTCTTTTCGATAATAGTACCTTTCAACTAACGTAAGCTGATTTGTTTGATTTTTTAAAATCTGTAGCATTGGTCGAAAGCCAACCCGTATTTTTCAGATCGAACACTCACCAAGGTTTTCACCATAGCAAAGGAACCATCCAACAAAGCTAATGGAGAATCAAGTGGATCCGCTTTTTCCAAATTAGCCGAGAAATATAATGTTGATGGAGATTTAAGCTCTGAGGCTGTACCAATCAATTGGACTTCCAAAGATCACGACTTGGTAGCTAAGAAGCCGATGCTAGATATCACTGAGATTGAAGAATATGATGACTTTGATGGTAGTACCGGAAGCTTCTTCAACTTTTTCGGTATTACCGATGATAAGTTTATGTTACACGCCATCTTACTTGAACTGCACGCTAAAGTCTTGGAGTTAGTAGTGTTTCTACCTTCGATCTTCACGTCCCGGCCTATTTGACTCGTATCTGATTTATTTCTCTTCTCCCTTTAGCTTTTACGTGGGTATTGACGAGGGAGATGACGATGATGTCGACAGTGATGAAGAGGAAGATGACGAGGACCCAAACAAGGTGGTAGATCTAGGTGACGATTCAGCTGATGAAGCTGGTTTACCCAAGAAGAAAAAGGCCAAGACTGGAGAGTCTACAAAATAGCTTTGATCTTTCGTATATCTCCTATTTGATATCAAGAAAAAAAATAGATCTGGAAAGATTTGGAATTGTTTCTCTGTTCTTTTTTGTATAGGGCAAATATGTGTGCTACTTTACACCTTATCACCTTGTTCAAACACTATCATCTTCTACTCGCATTGTTACTTGACTCATTCAACGCGAAACATATACCGTCTTATTAGGCAACATTTTTACTCTTCTTTGAGCAGATCCACTTGTCGCTTTTGACAACATCAATGATCCATCATTGGGATGACTGCCTTTGTTCCAATACCGTACCTTGATCGAGTCTAGAGTTAGCAAAGGCGGCTCTGGAACATATCCAACGCTGCAATCTCCTTTCTTATTCAAGCAGAGCTTCCCTGCGACAAAGAATCATGTCATCTGATCATAATTGCACTGTTCAGAGTTTGCTCTTTTTGTATTCTCTCAGTCTAAATTCAGTAAGAAGCATAGGATACACATTTTTATTCAAAAAAATAAATGCTTAAGATATGATCAAGTTTCAGAACGATCGATGACTACACTTCAACTATACAAATAGTATCAGTAAAACAACCTATTCGAACTCGTTGATGTTTTTTTATGTAAGAAATAAGTTACACATCGTCTTGTTTTGTATCCCAAACATATCGAAAGAATCGATGATAAAACAAGCTGATTGAAGATTCAGAATCAAGTCTATAAAATTGATGTATGTAAATGTATATTTCCATCTCATAATACCATTCACACTGTGATAATGTTCATTTTTTTAAATTCTTTGCTAGATAATTCATTTACAAAGAGATAAAAGTAAAATAGAAACAAACAAAAGATAACAACAATAGAAAATCTTACAATTCACTACACCCAAATAAACATCAATAAGTTTTAAGTTATCTTTAAAGATTCGTCATTTTATTGTCCTAATGCCATTAAAGCCGCAATAAATGTTAAACCCTAAGAAAATTCGAATACAATCTTAGTTCATGTTCCTTCTTGATGATTTGTAAAAGATTAAGATAGATAAGGGAACTTACTAGACGTGGACGGACTTCTACCAAGTCTTCAGGTACTACAAAGATCAAAGCACCAGCCTTTCTAGCAATAGAGATGGCCAATTTATCTAAGATTGAAGATCACCAAGAAAACAAAGCAAGTATTTAGTCAGCGTGAATATAAGAAGAGAAAGTGTCGAATAGAGATGATGAACGAGAAAGAGAGACTCAAACTATTCATTGTGCATTCATCCTCATTACGACCTTCATAAACTAATGAATAATCAACATAACCCGGTTTAAGAGCATCAAGTAAATCAAGATAGAAATGCCCCGTCTTAAGTGTCGAATCTTTAAAGCTTCTCATCGTAGTACGTTTAGAAGCAGCTTTAACTCGATCATTTGCCCATCTGATCATATCACTATCTGTAACTTCTCTATTGTTTCCTTTCGAAAGTGAAGCAAGTGTAGCAATCACTGATTTTCTCATCAATTGCCAAACTAAACCAAGCACAAGTGTTTTAGTACCATCCACTATATCGGCTCCTTGAACTCCTACTAATGTCATTCGATTGGCTTGTCCTAATTCTACGGCATAATTCGTGTTCTCTACACATTTAAATCGACTTAGTTCTTGACCTTCTTTTGGTTTACTAACTCTTCTCCATGTCACACAACCTGGAATCACTTTATCAAAAGCTTGTAAGATTACGGTTCCATCCTATTTTTTTAAGTAAGAGTCATATATCAGTCACTCGTCTGTCAAAGGGGAAACAGGATGTGTGTTCAGAAATGCTCACTTTGAGGTCTTCAAACAAGTTGTAAACACCCGGTTCGACATTAAGACTATTAAGCCATAAGGTGAACACACGTGCTTCTCGTTCACCTTCAGCATCAAAATCTTCAATCACAGGTCTTTCAGATTCTTCAAGAGCTTCTAAGCCAGGATGAGTATTAAACAGATTTGCAACAAAAGCCAAGTTAAGCTTTGGATTACCAACTACAATCGATTTAGAAGTTAAAAACTTTCGACAACCGATCGCATCTGCATTTTGAAGCACTTGTTCGGCTCTTTGCTCTAGATTTGTTTGTTGTAATGGTGCACGTGAACATTGGGCTGGTACGAGTTGGTTGAGAAGGACAGTGTAGTTTTCGGAATCACATATGTCTTTGCTGAAATTGTTGACTCTGTGCGATGATGATGATGTCGAAGATAGTAATAAATGTGAAAGGCAAAAACAAAGGTATGTGTCAGTACGCTAGAATCTCATGATAGTTTTGCATCAAAAAGTGTAGTTACAAACCTGCGAGGCCAATTTGCAGCTTTTAAATGATAATTGAACCATCTAAGTAAAATCTGATCAGGTGGTAATCTCAAAAACTCTTCCAAAGTTTCTCCATCTTCTAATAATCTATAAAGTTCAGGATGTAATTTAATATCAATCTTACTTAACAATCCACGTCTGATGATTTGCCAAATCAATCCTAAAATCAAATGTTCACGTCCATCAATAATATCACTAGCGCCTACGTTAACAACTGAACAACCAATGGCTTTGGCTGAACTGATCACTATATTATTGTTTTCGGTCATTTGAAAATTGTTGATCGGTTTGAATTGAGTCTTTGCTACTGGTTTGTTTAAGACTCGTTCATCAATCGTATCTGGAACAGAATCGTTGATTAATTTACAAAGTATTAATCCGTCTCTTGCTTCATCAAATATCTGAAATGTTTCAGTGGGTAATGGAAGTCGATCGCCGATATCGGGATCACCACCTAGAACCTGAAATTGAGGGAATTTTTTTTTGATCAATTTCCGAATTCAATGGTGTTTACTTTAATAAATTCAAAGATTATTTACCCCATTGATATGTGTTGTGAAGGCTGATAACTCATCAGGTAAAATACCATGTTGAATATTACTATTGCTTCCTTGAACAACCACGCGACTCTTTCCAGGACTACCGATCGCCACACCAGCCGTTTTATTCCTACCTTGACGTAATTTTGCAATCAGATCAATATAATCTTCTAATTCAATCTTTCCTGATGAATCCACTTGAACTTCTTTCAATGTAGTTCTAACCGAATCATAAGTTCCTTCTGAATTATGACCAGAAGAAAGAGCTGTGATGGCTTCCTGTTTGGTGATCGAACCTTTTCCATCGATATCCATGTCTCTGAAAACAGATTTGTTGGTTAATTAGTTTGGGTTTTGGTTGATGGTCATCTTTCATGAGGTATTTACTCACTTGAATCTAGAAACAAGAGACATGACCTCCGGTTGAGAAAATTGAGGATACTTCTTTTGAAGCTTGATAGCTTCCATGTTTGATTGATTTGATTAGTTTGATGATGATAAATAGTTAGTTAAAGAAGTCTCTATGAATTGTAGTTGGAAAGTCAAGTTGATAGGATAAATGTGGTTGATCAGTTAAGTTTGCTTTTGGTTTTGTAGTCTGGCTTTAGGCTGTGCAAGACCCGGATCCGACTCTCACTCCGACCGATGATCCGTCAAGAAATCAACACTATGTCATCATCCAATTCAATTTTAGCTTCATCAGCCAAGACTCAGAGTAAGACATCACAATACAAATCACTCCTCAACATGCACCGCAAAAAGTCACCCACTGAGTTGGACATATATTAACCGCGTAAAGGAGGACTTGCTCAAACAAATAACCCTTGGATTGATTTCTACCAATAATACCATCATTTTTCAATCTGTTCACTTCATCTCAACAAATCTTGAGCGTTGAAATGATAATGACACAGACTGGTCACAGCATGGCCTTGAAAATAGGGGAAAAAATCAAAGAAGACACTCTGAAAAATTCTAAATTCTAATGGTGAAGAGAGATATATATATCATCTTTATATGCAAAACATTGTCCGTGTAGATTTTGAAATCTCATAATGCTTGCATATTTCTTTTTGGGATGATTTTTTTGTCTTTTTTCAAGGACGTGTTGTGAGCATTTCATGGCTGTGTCATTATCACCACCCTGGATATTTTCAGAAGTTGGATTTGGAGTCAAGGGATTGGAAGATTGATTATATTAACTTGATACATTTCTAGATTTAAAGACTCTTGATGTTGAATGAAAACATTTTTTGAAAATGCATTAATTAAATGAATGAAGGTTGTGAATTGTAAACATTTTATGCCATAAATTTTGATCAGTTTTATAGAGTTCAACTTCTGATTGTTAAAGAATTCATGGCTCCTTCAGTTTTGGAAAATACACCAGCTTTTCTTCATAAACATGTGTTTTCAAAGTGAACACAGAAAACAACCAACTTGAAAGAGATGAGGTACTTTCCTTAAAGCAATTTGCTTGGCAGATCTCTGCAAGTTATTTTATGTATCTTGATAGAACATTCAAAGTGCACCTTTCTTGAATGCCAAAGATGGATTGGGTCTCCAGAGACAAACATATCATATTTGTACAAATTTATTGAAAGAGTTTTTGAAGAGTATGGCTGAATAGTACTTCTAGCTTCAACACATTTTTGACAATTCTCGTAATGAGCTTATCCACTGACTTCGATCAAGTTGATGATCACTAGCCTCTTGACCATCCTTAGGACGACACAATAGCACACTTTGTATCCCGCTTGCAAGTGCCCCTTCATAGTCCCTATATTCATACTCGTCAGTTCAATATATTTACCTCAGAGTAAAAGTGAAATCTAATTACTCTTTGAAATCATCACCAACGTGTAAGAACATATCTCGAGTAAGAGGTTCAAGACCTAAAGAAACCAAACGAGAATTATGATGATCAATAGCCTGATTCCAAATCTTAGGATCAGGTTTTGAAACCCCAACTTCCCAACTTGTAAGAATCGAATCATTTGTTAAAAACTTGTTTATTTCATTTGAAGAATTTATAACTGAAATTATTCTGGAATCTGAATCAATATCTCAGAGACCTAATAATGAAGAACTTAATGTCGATACGTCAAGTGGCCTCAGAAGATATGATAGCTGATGTTTTGACTAAACCGTTAGGAAGCGTGAAACATCAATCAGCTATGAAACAGCTCAAGATGGCGCGTTGTGATTTAGGGGGAGTGTTATGATCGGTAATAAATCACTGACCTGTTTTGCTGCTGTGTTGCCCTGATTCCGTTTGCTCTGCTGTTATGCTGTGTTGCCCTGATTCCGTTGTTCCGTTGTGTGTGCTGATCTGTGTTGTACGCTTTGCTGACAAACATATATGACGTCACTGGATATGTTTCGCTCACAAAAACCCTCGAGTCCTTGCCCAAAAGAACTTCGATAAAAAACTATTCAAAATCTTCTCATCGTTTTCTCTTTTTATCGTTTTCCTTTGATCGTCAAGAAAATTGTCACTTCCTCGTTTCGTTCTAAAACACTCAATACTACACGACAAATCTATTCAACTATAAAGCTGAATCTAAATCGAACTCAAGCTTTTATCGAAAGGAAAGGAGGTATAGCTTGGTTCTATTTATGATGTCTGATTTCTTCTTTATCTAATTTTAAATTGATTCCTCAAAATGTAGACTTTCGCTTTTTTGATTACATTGTTCGATTTAAAATTCGTGTTACAAAGTTGAATCTCATAAGTGTAGTTATTGTTAAAGGTACTACAATTTCTCTCTTATCTTTTTTATCAAAGTTGTTTGTTACGTTTTTACTTACATAAAATATTATTGTTAAAGAAATTAAAATATAAGTTTTATCCTAAAGAAAGAGAGATCCTACCTGTTCATTACAATATTCTGATTTTTCAAGATGTAAAAGAGATGAGCAAAAGTTGAAGAAATCATCTTACATACCTGATTTAGGTATACCACTATTTTCAAAAGACCTTCTTATGACTAAACTCCACCATTTCTCTGGGTTGATACCATTGGATTTACCGTAATTAGAATGTTCTAAATTAGTTTTCTTGAAAGCTAAAGTTGGTACGTGAATCCAAATGGACAAGATCAGAAATCGTAACCAGAAAGTAACAAAAAAAGGGATGTGAGACATAACCAAACAGGTTTTGAGGTTATAAAAGCTTTAATATCATCTTATGCTTGGTTTGAATGATGCAGTGCAGATTTTTGAAATTGGAATATACATCTCACGAGGTTGAGAAAACAGACGCTGCTTAATATATGAAACACTTTCGATTACACCTCATTCACTTCTCAAAAAGAATAAGTATAACGATAAAAGTTATTTATGAAATCACCTTTTTTGAAATCCGATGAGGTGATATTGACTTCAATTCCAAATTGTCTAGCCACTTGTGTCTGATTGAAGAAAAAGAAGACAATTTTCCATCAGTCTCAGGGTTACTCAAAATAAAGATTTTGCAAACCGAGGTCTCGGTTATTATAGAACCGATTGAGGAATAGGAATAAGAAGCCTAAAGAGTTCCGTGAAGATATCTTTGTATCGAATGAAATAGAGTGAGATTGCTTTATATAAACGCCTCACATATTGATCGTGTACTGGTATACGTGGATAAATCAGAGTATCAAATATATCAAAGAAGACATGTTTAAACCTCTGGATATTTTGTGTTCACATTTCTGGTAGGAAACGTTCAGGACAGGAGAACTTTCGCCCTTCAAGATGACTCAAAAAAACCCTTGGAAAGTGAGTGGACGTTGAGGGATTTCGCGAGGTGGGGTCAGTTGAAGTTGACTGAATCGAGGAGCTCCCGACTGATCAGTCCCTACAGGGCCCAGGCTACATACGCATACCTTAAGGTTAAGTCAGGAAATGGTAAATATCACTTTTCTTTTGCGTTTGGCTCGGAGATTCATTCAAGGTCCCAAGCTTCAGAGACCTCTGCAATTTTACATACACACATCTTTCCACTGAGGGAGATTGAGGGTCAGTGAATGTTTGAGGGCCGACGGTGAAGGCTATCTCAGAGAGATCCAACCGGGGGAATAGCTCGTTCGTTTTCATTGACAAAAAATCGATGTATGCAGAGGATTAACCCTCCTATCTCGATGTCCCTCATAGACTCAAAGTATTGCACGCATCCATGTGTCCTCTTGCTCATTCACGATTGATGGCCGAGAAGCTTCTATAGAGAGCATTTAGAGCCAAGATACGGAGAACTCGACTGATCTTTCTTGTGTCGTCATTGGGTGGGCTATATATACGGCTGTGAGGTTTTTGAGGAAACGGAAGTCTTCATCATCCATGGAAATCCTATAAAATATTTACAACCGACGCCCATCATCAGGTAATCCAAAGATGCCAACTAGACCGAGCTCACGATATAAAGGATCGGCCTATTTATCACACGCCGGGTTTCAACTGTAGTCGAGGTACGGTGCTGATGTGGATCACAACTTCACATGGCCGTCGAGTAATCGAAGAACGTTACCTTAACCTCATCACCCTCGTCACCCTCGTCACATTCACAACTTCAACCTCTTTCCTCTGGGACAGAAAATTAAGTAGGAGCCTGAATACTGAAGTTCAAGTGGGTCTTAGGCATCTATAAAAGCTACTTCCTATCTCAATATCTAAATCCATTTCCCAACATCACTTTCAGGCCAAAGTAAACAATTCAATTCGAACACAAAACCCTTTTTTACACCAAAGATCATTACTAGATTAAATTTATCAAACGGATTATTCTTTAACAGATGTTTACTTCTACTTTAGTCACCTTTATTATGATGTTATCTGTCATAGCAGAGAAACCCAAACCTAATGCTCAGCCTATCTGTGTTAATCTTTTTAACAAATCTACGCCTCCAACCTCCAAATCGACTGTCCCAACGGGCCACAAACTATCTGTTAACTCGGTGGATTCAACAGCTCAGAGACGGGTGAGAATTTTTACATCTCGAGATGCGTACTTTTGGAGTCTAATCATCTGATGGTTTACTTCTTTGTAGAGCTTGGATCTCGAGGAGGATGGTACAGAGTTGGAAACTAGTGTAAATCCAAACAATGTCTTGGCGGTAAAAGGAGGCGGCGAACAGCAAAAGGGAAAGACGCCCGCTACGAAGTTGAGATTTAAAACAACTGCCCCGGTAAGTCATGAGAATCTTCCACATATCATTATCAATCTTTTACTCATTTCATTTCAAACTTTACTATGACTATATAGGTCGATTGGCTAAAAAGTGACAACAGTCCATGTGGCCCTTATAAGACTGAGGCAGTCATGGGTGCATGCTTATGGCAAGGTAAGGATCCATCGGGTGCCGACGCTTCAAAGGCTGGTTGGTTGAGTGGGTAAGTGTCGATGAGGTCTCTTTGAGTGAACTCTCTCTTTTACAAAGGTGAATAGAAGATCTAATACGAAATGTGCATTGGGAACACTTTAGAGCTGCTACAAAGATGTGTGGGCAAGAGCTGTGAGTAAAACGGAATCTGAGTTTTCAAAAATGAGATAGAAATTGAGATTGGGATCTGTTTTTGCTTTTGTTTAGTTCCGTTGCTCGTGCTGGAAAACCAAATGATATAATCACTGTTAAGGTCATAGATGCTTGTTCCTTCAATATTAAAATGGAAAAAGCAGGATGTAATCAGATCTACTTATCTAAAAAGGTAAATAATCTTGACAAACTTTCAAACTCCAAACTTTCATCAATCACTTATTGATATTTTTGACCCCATTTTAGGCCTTTGATGCATTGAAACCTACAGCGGTTGAAGCAGAAAAAGGATCTATGAGTGATTTGATTTGGGATATGTAAGCATTTGATCATGACTCTAGAAAAGGCTGATCAAGAAACTGATCAATGTATTCTATCACAGAAAAGCACCAGCCACCGGAAAAGCCACACATTGATTAAATCAAAAACTATGATCTCATTAAAACTTTCCCTGGAATTTGATTCTTCTTTCTTGAATTGCTTTTATTTGATAATCTTTGAAAGATTTTTTTTCTTCTCACAATTCAGTGTAATTTTATACCATATTTTGAATCATCTTTTTTGTTGCTTTGATTTGTTTGGAAAGAGTTTTATTTTTAATTTGGCACAAGGAACACATATTCTTGCCAGTGCACAATTCTTGTGATATTGCTTCCTCAGGGTAAATCGAGGAGGATCATTCCTATGAGTACCACTCTTGATGATCACACGGTATTGGGAAGCTAATTGAACCGTGCCGTACTAAACATTTTTTACTAAACCACTTTCTCTGTTTTGGGAGATTTAAAGGGGTGTTGGTTATATATATGAAAACTAACCTGACTGCAAAGGATATGAAAATGAGATCTGTCTCAATTCTCTAAGCAGTCAGTACAAAATGAAGCGTTGAGTAAAAGTAATAGAAGAACTGCAACTGAGTTATGTATTGAATATGTTATAATCAACATGGAATGCTTGTAATCATGAGTTCATTATTACAATCTCCCCCTATAGAAGAACTTAGGGTTAGGGTCTGCAAGCACTTGAAGTTATACATCCTTTTCTTTAACTATCTCAACAAAATCTACATACAATCTTCATCAAGACTCTACAAAATGTCTCATTCATTGCCAATCAGAATGGGAATATATGTTGGTAAGAGATACCTAAGGGCCCGTTCGGATCGTTTTCAGATATTATCTGACCTGAAAACGAAATTTCGATTTGCCCCTATCTCAAGGGGCACATCGACATTGTCGTATTTCGGACATGGAAGTTACCGAACAGCAAACCAAAAGAGGTCAACCGACATCTGTTGACCTCGTGATGATCATATCGCTGTTCGGTAACGGCCATATCAACTTGCATGCATTTTCATTTGCCTCAATCTTTTGAAACGGTCATCCAGACCTTCATCATTTGCATCCTAAACTTTCCTTCTTGTGTTGACATTGCACCAAAATGGTTCAAATTGAACAATCGATTTCAAAAGTGATAACAGATTTGAAGATTTAACATAAAGAAACGAACAAAAAACAAAAAGAAAGAAAAGAGACAAAGCGAATAGAAACAAAAAACAAAAACGAAAAGGAAAAGGAACAGAAGAAAGGAAAGAACGAAAAGAAAAGAAAAGAAACAAAACAAAAACAAAGAACAGAAGCAAACAAGAAACAAAAAACAAAAAGAAAGACATGAAGACAGCAGAAAACAAGTTGATTGAAGAACTGCTTCGCTGCGAGGAATCAGGATGGCTAAGCAAAGGTGTGAGGATCAAAAAGGAAAAAGAGTGCGTGGGTAATGAGAAAAGGAGAAAGAAGTGATGGTTAGATGGGGGTTGAGGGAGGAGCACATCGACATATTGGCTCGAGATACAGCCAATTGGCTGTATCTCAATATGGATCAATATCTCGATCTTGATGATCAGATACTGACCTCAGATATTTGAACCGAACGCCAATCAGATTTCGAATATCTGGTGGAGTTTGGACCCAGATACTATCTGGCGCTATGTAACACTTTTGGTGTGAAATTTCGCCAGATAGTATCTGCTCGCGGTGTCCGAACGGGCCCTAAGAGAAACAGCTCAAGACTAATTTATAATCAAACCTCAAACGCAAGCAAAAAAATGTTCAAAACAATGAAAAAACACATACTTTTCAAATTTCAATTTTTAACATGGAAATTCCCATAACAAGTATAAAAGGAAATATTGAATTATATTTGGCAAGTTGTGTGATTCAAAATATTAGTTTAGCTCATTTTGCCTGTCAAAAACAAGACTTGAAAGTATATAGCACCACACATGTAGCACCACATACATACTTGCTTTGATCAGTACCCTCAATGTAATACTCCAAAGCAAAAACCATACAAATACAAACAGAAATTTAATAACTTGTCAAAAACCAAGAATTATCATATAATTTTTCTTTTTAAAAAAGACCTGTTAAAAAAAACCAAAAATAAATATACAAAAAAAATAACAACTTATTTCAAGACTTCTTTTACACACACAACCACACGGCCACACAAAAAAGAAAGTTCAACAAATAATCATAAATCTAATAATATACTCAATTCAATCGATTTATAAAGCTCAATCAACCCCAAAAAGTAGTAAGAAATAAAACCAACTCTAAGAAAAAGAATCAAACCCAAACATCCAACACCAACATTTTTTTGCAACATTTTTTGTTTACTTTTTTCTTGGAAAAAATCAAAACTTTCTGATCAAACCCCCCCCACATAGACACACAAACAAACAACACACCAAAAAAGATTAAAAAAAAGCAACCAAAAGGTTTTTCAAAGAAGCTGGAAAATCAAGAATTTTTTTTAATTGAGATCTGATGACTAAGATTAGAAGATTGATTCTTGATTAAAACTTGATTAGAAAATCCTCTTAAGCCCAAGATCCTTCTCACATCTTTTGTAAACCTAAGACTATCAAGCATAGGTAACAAATCTAATAAACCTTCATCGCTTGGATCGTTTAACCATCCTTCGATTGGGATTCCATTAGCTAAAATTGAAAGTCAAAAACAAAGAAATAATGATCATCATCAGGAGTATGTTTTTTTTGGGGGGGTCGTTCTGAATTCACTGGATTTCAACTTACCTTGATGTAATCCATAACTTATCGGACTATTATCAACTAAACAGACTTTACTTAAATCTCTTTCAACAATCGTTAAATCTTTCATATAAGATCCTTTAATATTTGTACAAGACTGATTTGTTTCCCATCCAAACCCACCCATAAACCAAACCAAACGAAAAACCAAAAAAAAAAAAATCAGAAATCGAGGTTTTTTTGGTCTTTGGATTTGAGAAAGTAAAAGATTGTATTTGTTACCTCTCTAAACAATCTTCCATCTATTATTCCACGTCCTTGATCTAACCAATCGATCACCGGATCCGCATATTCTCTCATAGAAGCCGTAAAGATCACGACAGTATACCAACTAGAAACCTTTAAAAATATACAAGAAAAACAAAAACCATTCCCCATCAATGATAATTTGTCATTGGTTTTAAATCTTCATGAATCTCTTCTATCTCATTCTTTTGTTTGGAGTTTAAACAAATTGAAACTCTTACCGTTTTCAAGAAAAAATCAACCCAAGGTCTTTTATAAACATGATAAACGACAATCCGACCATCTAGAACGACTTCAACAACTCTAACCTTCAATCCAGCATGAACAGCTGAACCACTAGCTCCACCACCTAAAGTACCCGTGCCTCCCATTCCTCCTAACCTACTAGTCGAATGAATCAAAGTTTCATCTAAATCAAGTACCAATGTTTTATTCCTTGTACTTCCTAAGACAGTGGGTTTAGGTTCAGATGTAGGTTGGATCGGTCCTTTATTTATTCTTTTCGTATTCGGTTTTATATTTCTTGATTTCGTAGGTGGGTGTAATGAATTATTAGATGGACTTGAAGGGATTGATAAAAGATTAGATGTTAAGGTCGAATCTGATTCGTCTGCTGAACTACTTGCATCTGTCATGATCAAAGATCCATTGATTTCTTCTTCTGAACCAATCATGGATGATTTTATTGAACTTTTCGATTTAAGATTAGGTTTCCAAAGTAATTTAGCAATCGAAATTGATTTGTGATTGGAAGGTGGTGCTTCGATTATCAAAAGTGGCGTGCTTTGTTCAGATGGAGCTGGTGGTAATCGTAGGCCAAAGATTGCAAGAAACTTTCGAATGAGAATGTATAGGCTTACACCTAATCTAACAGGTAATAGTCTTGCTAATTGATGTGAACGTTTATGATGTTGATCTAATTGATTAATTGTGACAGATGATGGATTCGAAGAAGACGAAGACGAAGAAGTATGTGATTTTGAATTTGAAGTTGCGTTTGCAGTTGAAGTTGAAAGAGACCCAGAAGAAGAAAGTTTGGGTGAACGAGTAGGTGAAGATGATGAATTAGATTTAGATTTCGAAAGTTTCACTAGACCTGAATGAAGTGGTTTAAGAGCCGGTTTGATGGGTAGATGATCAGATGTGATTGAATCTCGTAAGGGAGACGAGGTATTTGAAGAACTTGAGGAAGTAGGTATCGAACTCAAAGCGATTCGAGTAGCAGCAGATGCAATGGAAGATAGAATAGGTGATCGAAGAGTAGGTTGATGAGCAAGATTAGTTAACTCAAAGCTTGAAGATGTGGTAGATGTGGAAGTTGAAGTGATGGAAGATGTCGAATCGAAAGAAGAGATTGGTTTGATCGTCTTGAGGGGTATCAGATGATCGTTTGGATGAATCGAATCTGAAGCATGGATCATTCTTTCTTCATCTAAACTTAAATTAAATGTTCTTCGTTTTTCAGATATACCAGTCAAACCTACTCTTACTTCACCTTCACTATTGAGACTTGCTTTACGTTCTAGATTGTTGGCTGCTTCAATCCCATTTAATCTTTCTACATTTTCTACCATTTCATCTACCAATTCAGATTCAGATTCACGTGGACCTGAGATCAGATTATCGATTGAAGTATTGTTTGATGGAATTGAGTTGTTTGAAGTTGATGTAGTTGATGGAGTCGTAGTTTTGATGGTAGATTGATGATTAGATTGAAGTTGGAATGATGATGATGATCTAGATTTAGGTGATAATAACCAATTGAGTGAATTCATCCTATTGAGAGTGATTGATGATAGTGATTGAAGTTGCGTGAAGTTGATGATGGTGATGGTGAAGTTGATGAGAAGATGGGAAAGACAATCGATTTCTTTCAAGATTGGGTTTAAATACACTTTTTTTTATTTTTTTATTTTTTTAATTAGATTAGAATTCAAACTAGTATATCCCAGCTGATGACCCTTCATGACCTCATTCATCCTCTTTCAGCATTTCTCTTTCAGCTGACCTTTTGCAACGGATCAAGATGAGGTTGGCCAAAACATACTCGTGATGGGGTTTAGGTAACAACTCTCATGTGACTCTTTAATAAGGAGATTTTGACTTCCATCACTGCGGAAGAGCAAAAGAAATTAAATTCAAAAATCACTCACTGGGATCATCATATCCATCCATCTTAATCCCATAGTTTGGAATCAAGTTCAGTCAAATGAACCAATATTACAAAAGTCTAATCAGCTTCTGCGACTTTACTCCAGAAATGAAGATCACTGGGTTTTAGAAAAACAGCCTTTGATTTCTGCTTGAGGAGTCAATCCAATCATCTCATAGTGTATGGTTTAATGGTGTGTACAGATTGACATTGCAGAAAGAATCTAATCAACCATTTTCAGATGTAAATATCAATAAATACTAATGATAACATCATCCAAAAGGGACTCTTCAATATCTTAAATAGAGTATATCTTTTGGCCTCAAAGGCCCCAGCACTCAAAAATATGAACTTGAGCCAGGTATGCATGTTCGATATGTACGTATGATACTAGCCCCACTCCTTCAAGAAATGTTGTGATGTCAAATGCAATGGCACAAAAACAGTTTTCCAGGGCTTCAAACTGACTTTTTATTCTCCTTTGTCTTTAGCTGTAACAGTTAATTTTAGAAAAAGTGTGAAGAAATTTTGTCACAATACTTATGTAACTTAGTGGAGATCTTGTATCAAGCTTTATGAGATCTTGGAGAAACTGTTGGGAAGCAATGCAATGATCTGGTATTTCTTTTTCCAGATACACCAACAACTATGGAAGAAATCACTCACGGCATTGTGATGGTTTTAGAAGGTTTGGATTGTTTTCTTTGGTCTTACTACTTTTGGGAACTTTAAGAATGTAAGCCAACTTGTCCTCAGGGATGTAGTTTTCATGTGTGCTTGAAGGATGTCCCCCAGTGTCAGAGACTTTTCAGCAATGTAAGCACTATAACTTGTGAAGATAGGGAGTGTTGAATAATGTTAAAGGTGGATGCTCACTTAAAGGTATGCACTACATCATTGGAGGCACCAGCACCACTACATGTGCCTGTGTGATGGCTGTGCCCATTTCACTACAAGAGATATAATATTTTCTGGGCAGGAAATATAAACAGTGAGACACAAAAATATTGAGCGGTCAGGAAGAGAGAAAAAAAAAGAATATGCATATTAGGGGGTTTCAAGTCAGGATATTTTTGTGAAAAAATTTATGAAACAGACAAGTTTCCAAAATTTGTAAAATTTATGTGAAATTTTACGGTCTTGGACAACTTGTTGTACTGCAAAATACCGTAAATCTTTTGACTTAGAACCCCCTATTGTTCCAATAGTTAAGAGCTTCAATCTGAGTGTTTTTTTTTGTATTTTTACAGTGTAGATTGTTGATTGTCTTAACACAAAGCCTTCATGATGATCATCAGATGACCATCTGTAGCAGTTGCTGAAATTTGGACCAGGAGTATCAAGAGTGTTGTAGAGTCATGTGTGTACACAACTGTGCCACAGCAGGTCAGGTGCATGTTGTACAGGTTGTAGTAGTTATAGCTCTCTCTTCTTGGCAATGGCTTCCACATCATCACCAGTTGTGGGCCCAAAGCCTTGGAGTGATAGCTAACAGAGCTTTCTGTCAAACCTAACAAAGCCCCTTGCCAAAGCTTTTTGACTCAATGATAGGTAATAAACACATCATCACCAGCGGTGGAGCCAAAGCCTTGGAGTGATTGCTAACAGAGCTTTTTGTCTTATGGTTGCTATCATGTAGACACAAGCACAGCCTGATCCAGTTTGGCCCTGGCCCTGGTCCAGAATGTTGATGAGCTGTGACTGGCTATGTTTGGTGCTTTTGTGTCATAATCAGCCAAAATGAGTTGCCCTAGACCCAAAATTACTAAAGCCTTATATCAACTGTAGGCACAGCCTAAAGCCATATCATCAACCCATAAGTACAGCCTATAGCCATATTATACCCACAAAGTATACTATAAACCAATATGTCCGAAATGCATGGGAATAAACTGTTTTTTTTTGGAAAAAAACACTACTGGCCATATCAACTTGAAAAGTCCTCTATGGCGCAAACCACCCTCAATTATGCCAAAAATGACTTTTCAAGAACTAACAAGCCCTTGGGCCTTGTGGGATGACTTGGGTTAGCAAATTCCAACTTTTTCAGAGCATGTGTGGTTGTGTCTAGGTGACAGCAACTGTGCAAGAATAAAGAGAACATGTTTGATTCCCCAAATTCCCATCAAGTTGCAATTTGTGTTCAAAACATTCAATTTTCATTTCATTAGAAATCCATATCCTTCTCCTAATGTTTTGTGGATGTGCTAAAGATGTAGCTTCTCTGAAAAGACAGTTATCTGTATTGTAGAATGTTTCCTATATAGCCACATAGTATACTGTGGCAATCCTTAATAATACATTGTCACATTTTTCAACAAGCTCAATCAATTCCTTTGAATATTTTCTAAATGGCCTGGCTTGATCCAATTTGAAAACCATAGAAAAAGATTTATAATCCAGAGACAACACAAATTCAGCCATACATATTTCATGAAAGCGATTTGGTTTGGTTGAAGTCCATGGGGAGAGCAGGGTGGTACCAAGGGTTGATGCCAGGTGATCCTACAACTCACGTTTTATTGGACATCAATTTATCTATGCTCAAGTTGTTGCAGGCTCAGCCCGCAAATCTCATGGAGTTCAATTCTATCTTACATATGAATTAACATGCAATGAGATCATGGTCAGTATGCATCTTTTCTTCTCATTGTATGTAAATTATCCCACCAGTGAGAGCTTTCAAAGATTTCAGCTGAATTTTCGACTCTCTGAACAGGCTCTGGACTATACTAATAGGCTCAATGGGCCAGGGCAATATCATTCATCAGACTCGGGTATTCAAAACCCTTAGGATACACGCCTTTGTTAATGGTTCTTGTCTAATATCTATCATGTCCAAGTTTCTTGGAAAGACAAAATATATGCACCAATGTTTTTAAACCATTCATTTTGGTTCAATAGATTGATATACAGGGGGGATTTGTGTCACCTTATCTTGACCATTTGGCTGCTATCTCGGAAATTGTGATATAATGAAAAAAATGTTTTGACCATGAAGTAGTTTGGGTGACATTATTAGTCCCAACAGTGCCAAGCACACTGGAAAAATGCCTACCACCTCACAGTTCCAGACCCAGCTAAATTAATTGAGACCCAATGAATAAGTTTGATCAATCCAAATGTCCCAAGCTTTCCATTGAATTTGAACGGTGCTAAATGGCCATGTGAAGGCTAATTAAAATTCTTTTGAACAAACAGTTATAAGGTACACATGAAACATTCAGGTGTCACAAAGCTAAGATTGATAAAAAAATGTCCGACTTCCCAACAAAACTTGAAGAAATATAAGATATCAAAAGCAGAAACAATACATAAATAAATACATTTGTGACAGTCCAATCCTTCGAAGAGTTATTAATGATATAGGTTTAAAAGTTAGCTTTGTGGGATATCGACAGAGCCAGAGCCAAGGAGAATACATCATTGGCCACCGATGTACGAGGGCGCCTGTGGCGAGATTCAAGTATCCACCGGGTTTCTCGTGGATTGGTATTCGCTGTCCTCGATTATTGAAAATGGTTTGTTGGTGTTCAGCCGCAGGGATTCCCGTGCGCTTTGAATCCTGGATCACGCGGGATCCAACCACCCTAAAATTTGGAAACAATCATGATCAGCAAGTCTATCCAAGGACATGAACATATGAAGCTTGATAAGTTTATTTTCAAATTTTATCCAACCTTTACACCGGCGTCATAACTCCAGTCATCTGAATTCTCAGCTTTGAAAGTCCACATAAACCAACCAGAAGCTTTTTCAAAAACATGAGTTTGAACTTCGAAGAATCGTCCTAGGCTGGCTTTGTACTCTTCTGAAAAACTAGACATTGATCCACTCTTCCCTTCACACGAACCTAAACGTGGACTGTCCTTGAAAGTTGCATCATATCTAGATCCAATCCCTTGTCCATTAAGACGTGGTGCACAATCTGTAGGAGCAGGTGTAAATTCTCCAACAAAAGTCCAAAGAGACGAATCACTTTGTACTAATGATTCAGTTAAATCACAATATGATTTTACACGTTCGTCATCAGTCATTTTAAGTTGAGTATTGTTAAAGACGGTATAGATATGTGTGTCTAATGCTACTCCTTGCCATTTTGGCGCTGGAAAGGAATGTGTCCAGGCATCGAGTGGTTGAAAAGCATCATGGATCGCATATAGTAAATTCGATTGCGACCCTTGAGGTATCGGATATCTTACAATTCCATAGCCATCTATACGTAGATAGATGAAAAAAAATCCCTTTAGTCTCGCTTATTTTTATGATGACGATAAACATCTTCAAATCAGGAAAAAGAGCTATGTACCGTAGTAGTATTGACGAGTAGTCTTCAAAGTCTTTTCATTGGCGAATCCGGCGGGCTCATTGAGTGACTCCAAGCTGGTAACCGTGCCAGCTTAACCAAAAAAATAATGATCAGAAATCCGTCGATTTTGGTCGGAGAACACGCTTGCAAAGGATTGGTGAGGGTGAAGAAAACTGATTCTTACCATACTTGGGCTGAGAAAACTCTTGAGCAAGTAATACTAGGGCTTGTCTTGTACGGGCGACATTCGAATCTTCGGAGGCCCAATTAATCTCGCCTCTTTTGCCGGAGTTGTCTATTTAGAAGTGAATTTGAAACAAATCATCGCTAGTTCAATGTTTTGATCTCCTTGAATCTTCCCATTATGCTCACCAAACCCATTCTGTGATCCTGGAGCACCGTGCTGTAGTGGGTTTTGATCGTCAGTTCGAAGTTTCCACATTGATAGATGAAGGTACGCACCAAGTCGATCATCACCTTGAGCCCTGCTCCTTGGGCCCACCCGACAGCTCGGTGGAGGTACTGATGATCAGTCGGTTCAAAGTTGAATAAATTATATATCACAATCTCGAGAGTCTCAATTATCAAATTCTTGTAAATATCCAATACATACCTCCAATTGACCTTGCACATAAGGTTCATCAGTTAATATGTCAAAAGCCCAATATCCTAAAATCATGAAAGTTGGAATTCCTTCTGTCTCGGTATGCTTGATGTTTTCATTGAAGTCAGGGAAATTAGTGACTGACCAATGGGAATTCGGACGTGATTGAGACCATATGAACTGATTCTTTGAAAATCTTCTTCTTTATAAAAAGACTCCCAATGTGCGCGAAGAAGTTCAGTTGCTGCTTTTTGCCTAGAAGTTGAAAAAAATTGAATCAGCGACAAGATTGAAGATCATGATCAGAAGTAAAGATCTATTACCCTAATTGCTCGCAAAGTGTATACTCATCAACAATCTTGTCATTTCCTGTGTTGTAAAGTGAAGGTGTGATCCAAGGCTCTGTAACAAGCCATCCACCAAGGTTGACACCACGTATCTTATATTTGGCGTAATCAAAGCTAGGTTTAATTTCTTGGTCCCTCTTGGAAAATGATGGGTCTATATGTCGACGAAGGTTGAAATCTTGAATTTTTCTCGTGTGTGATTGTATTGAAGAGCGGGAGATGAGCTGATGTGTATTTGGAGTGACTGAGTCAAGGGCCTGAGTTGCGAATGAAGCGCTCAAACTGAGAAGGCAGAGAGCCCGGTGAAGTAACATCACCTGCGGCTGTCTTGTGAATCAAGCTGAAGTTTCTGAAGTAGGAAAGAGATTTTGATTGAGATGGGTACTAAGATTTGGAAGGCTCGAGAAATCGAAAAGGGTTTTTTGAGAACTGACTTGATGATAACCAGATAGCAATGTACCAGGGTATCAACACAGACTGTCCAACGACTGAGAAATACGTTCTTTTGAAATTAGCTTCAGGCCCAGAAAGATACGCAATGGTCTTCAATATCACTCGAAGGCTTGGTGCTTATTGCATACTGACCAATGCAATGATTGAGTAGTTTTCGAAAATGTTGCTTCAATTCCCCAAGTTACGATGCGAGAGTGGAGAGATAATTTCGTGCAGCCCTCATAACATCACTCCCATGGGTTGCATACCTACCGAAGAAAGATAGATGCGACTTGAGCTGCTTGTATGATATCCTGGGGATGGCTGAAACGTGCATACGAGAGCTGAAAAGGTGGTACATGGAGGTCAACAAAACCCTCGTTAAGACTCGTATATCAAACTTGATGTCTCGATTGCATCGATTGCATCGAGATGAGAAACAGAACTCAATGTCGCCAGGGCCTTTGTACCGCTTCATGATTATCATTGATCGCTAATTTCGAAACACCAACAAAGGGTTGCTTCCTACTGTTATCGATTTAGAAGTTGGAGTCTCCCAGGACGGAAGTCACGGCTCCAGCTCTCAGTATTCTACCATCGGCGATGAGGGTTCGCGACAAATCAGGAACATAAAGACATGCTTGGACTTCGATCAACTCCCCTTCGGCATTTATGAGATTGCTAAAAATACAGAGTTGGGCTTAAAGACATACAGGAGATTTTGGTTACCCGTAACCCAAGCACACTCACGGAGATTGACTTGCTTTTTCATCTTTCTCATAGCTGTCCCCTTATGGCGTTAACACTCTAAGCATTTTGTGTTGTTATGTAGTTTTTTGTATTTTTGCGCTTCCCTCACAAACAAACCTCCCTTGATGCTATAAGGGTAGTTGTTCAGAAGTGTTTTTTACATGTGTTTCCCTGTTCAGAAACCAGGAAACCCTTCTTCATTGTGCTGTTTTTGAGCTTGGTTTTCAAGCGCTTATGTCCCACTAGTCATGTGGTTTACAGCTTGTATCAACACTGCACGCGATGTAGAGGAAATCACACCGCGGGAATGATTAAGTTCAAAACCCGATTGAGCGAAGTTGCGGTGTCCGAGTCCGCAACTTTGCTCAATCACGGATCTTGTTCACATCACGTTCACAATTTGTTCACAGGTTTCCCCCGAGCTCTACTGATACTCTGCCTTTGTATGTATTCAAGATCAAATTTCAATTCGTCCTTGATGAGCTCCTTTCTTTGTTGGTTGAGCATCTGGAACATTGAAAAAGATTGACATAAGCACAATTCAATGTCCATGTCTCTAAAAAGATTTGCCATAAACACACAGTGTTGTTTAACATTGTTGGTTAGCGACCCACATGATGGTGATGGGACAATACTTCATGGGGCATGGTGAAAGCACTGAGATGAAAATTGGAAAGATGAATTAGATTAACAACAAATGTCAAAGACTGATGACTTGCAAGGGACTTTCTGTTGTATGATTGTTACTTAAGATTGCGGAGGGTAACTGGAGGGAAACCTGTGAACGAATTGTGAACGTGATGTGAACGAGATTGGTGATTGAGCAAAGTTGCGGACTCAGACACCGCAACTTCGCTCAATCGGGTTTTGAACTCAATCATTCCCGCGGTGTCATTAATACTAACTCGGGGCTTTCTGGTGAAGGCAGAGATTGTACAGGCAGAAGTAGTAAAGAGTTTCAAACCTCTTTTTTGTCCGCACCAATCAGAGTGCGTATGATACTATAGTTGCTGCCACCAAGCCCCTTTAAATTTTTGACGGGTATTGATTGAGACCCGAAATCTACGCCCACCCTCAGATCACAAGTTTTTGAGGAGCCGAGGCTATTTTTGGGACCCTCACATCGACGGCTTTCTAAAAATAGCTTTTTAGAAAGATCGAACAAAAATTATTATTATTATTTTTGTTGCGTTTTTTGTTTCGTTTTTTTCTCATCTTTTTCATCCATCAGCAGCTCATTGGGTAGATGGCTTCAGAGATCTATGTAAGTTATCGCTTGGGTTTGCTCCAATAGTCAAAACGAGGCTAAAGCCAATTTTGATTATTATAGACTTATAACAATAGATAGAAATCATAGTGATGTGATTAGAACAATTATACATTATAACAATGCAAACAATTCTACATCGTAGCGATGTTATTACAAAAGTATACATTGTAGAGTACAGTAGCATGTAATGTAATGAATTGAGATGTGGCGATAAGATGATGGGGTGAGGTGGTTGAAGGGTGGAATTGAGTGGTGAATTTAAATGTTGTTCTGTATCTCACAATCGACATCCTTCAAAGATGATTTAGCAACACATCGATGAGATTTGTAAGACTTGACAGTTGCATTGGGAAGGATTGGTTTTTGCCTTCAAGCAGTACTTGTTAGCTAACTGGCCTAACAGACTGAAGAAAAGAAGGGCTTACATGAGTTCGTTTTTCAACCGATCAACCTTGTTGAAGAAGCGACGGATGGTGACGAGAGGGCAGCGTGTCCTGACTCTTTCCCACAACTGTTTGGCCTCTTGCAAGTTATGAGCTGTGAAGCTCACTTTACGATAATCTAAAGATCATAAAGATGGTTTATACACATCAGTTATCTGAAGTAATATGGGGTCTAGATTCCAAGAGATAAGACAAGGAAACCTACCTGTCTTAGTAAAACACCAAAGGAGCTCGATGGGATTAAGCTCACAATGAAACTTTGGAAGGAATGTACATAGGTGGCCAGAGTCTTCGATAACCTTCTGAAGGACTGGTTTCTCGTTGGTGAAGTCAGATTGAGCGGATAAGATCTTGTGGGCACAGCAGTCCTCAATATGATCATCTGGTAAAGCTTTGCTCGAGGTTAAAATGTCTTCGTAGTCAGGTGTTTCGACTTGTCGGATGAGACGTTCAGCTCGAGCTATTTTATCTTTTGCAACTCCAGTTTTCTGACACTGGGCACACTTGAAGATTAGGGGTTTGAGCTGTCGTGTAAGATTTTGTTTGTTGTAATGATCCCATAGACCACGTTTGATAAGAACCTGTTTGACTCCTTTAGGTTTCCCAGCCAACTTTTGGTCCGGATGATCGAGGGGAAAGTTCATAGATTGAACTCGTCCGTGAAGGTCAGCTGGAATATTGGGATTGTCGGAAGGAATGATTGTGTCTCGAAGATCAGGTTTTGTGCCACCAGGATTGAAGTTCATGTTTTGAACTCTAAGTGCATCTGGTGCAAATGATTCATGTGCCGAAGAACAATCAAAAATGAAAAGAGCCTGTGCACCCGGATGAAGCTCTTCAAAGATTGGGATTGCCCGAGTCTTTACCTGTTCAATAAGTTGTGTACAGTTCCACCACGGATCGCCTTTGGCACCAGGATAGATGACAATAGCCGCATCCCTGAATGGTAGTTTGGAGGTTGTATCGGAGGGTAGGACGAGACGTCCACACTTCTTTTCAACAAAGTCTGATGTATGGATTAGCTTGCCGTCGCTTTTGCGTTTGAGTGCACAGTCGTTCTTTGCAAACCAAGCTTTAGATGGCTCTTCACCAGTATGGATTGTCGATTCATCTTGGTAGACACGAATAAGCTCTCGAGTTTCGCCTTCAAGCTCTGGAAGAATGATTTGGTCAAGTTCTTCACCTGAGTATTGCACTTCACGTTTGCACAGTTCTGTAAGATCCTTGTTGTATTTCTGTCGATACAAGACAACATCGGCACGTTCGTGTCCATCGTAGTACATACACTTTGAATAAGCTTGAACCAAGAAGCCCATTTGATGCATCCATTGATTGCCTGTTCTGTCGGATATGGTGTCACCTATGTCATCAAATTTAGGTAAGATCTCGTGGTTGAGATGATTGACAAGACTTGCTGGGGTAACCTGATACATACATAAATTTGAGGTTTGGTAAGCAAGTATATAAGATGAATAAGACAAGGTGTGAGGGGTTACACACCTTGCCTGTCTTCTGGCTTGAGATCCATTCCGTGATCATCCGGAAGACCTCCTTATTGTCAAGGATTGATGGATGTTCAGTTGATAGGCCATTTCCCCGTATAGGTAGTCGCTTGTGTATGATGATATGTGATGCTTGTTTTCGAATTTGGGTTGCATGTCCACTTCCAATCCAAATTCTGAACGAGGGATTCTTTGGCGCAGGAAAGATGTCTGGACTGTTTCCATTGAAGCTTGTATACTTGCAGGTGTTGGGTTTGAGATGTGCAATTGTCTTCTTCGGTGATTGAATTCACGCAGCTTGGCCAGCTCATCAAACACTTGATTAGAGACTGCATTTGACAGTTTTTGTGAATCATAATAAAATGCAGCTGCTTCAATAGCATTATTGAGAACTTCCCACTTGTTGTTGATGCGGTCAAGTCGACGGACCACCTTTAATGTCGGTCTTTGTGATGAATTGTTTACATGAAGAGAACTGGGCTGTGGTGGATCAATAGGTAAGTTTGTTGAAGCTGCCTTGGATATATCATTATCTTCTAAGGCGAGTTTAGGTGGGTCAAAATCAATCAATTCACATTCATCTCCGAATTCATCTTCGGACAAAGGCTCAAAGGTATTGTTGTCTGAGGAAACACAAGACAATGTTTTGCTTGAGTTAGACTCGAGGTCGCTGGATTGATCACGCCAAGGCTCGTTTTCATATTTTTGACGCTTTTGAGGTGGTTGAGGACACTGTTGACGGTAGCGTTGAGCCCGTTGGGCTTTGGAGAGAGGCATTAAACAAAGCCAATGAGTGGTGAGGCACTCAAGAATGATTTCAAAGAAAGATCAAGGAAAGTTTGACCAAGTCAAAGCATGGTCATGAAAGCTTTCATTGACGATTTGGCAATATGAAATTTGGCCCCGTGGGGTCAACGTGGTAATTTTCAAGTACCGTCCCCGTCAAAAGTTTAAAGAAGCTTGATGGCAGCAACTATATAGTTGTTACCATCAAGACTCAACGAGCCTCGGGTCGGGTCACCAAAGCCGTTTGCACTGAAATCGCTATGGATGTAAAAGCGATGTTCGCATCCTTATCCTTGAGTTTTTGAAAGTTTGGAAACGGAAATGGAATACTCTTATCAATCTCTAGAGTATTCCAGCCCGAATAGGTCGGCCGATTTTTTTTTACATAGAAATGAATTAGTTCAAAGATTTGCGAGATTTGTTTTGTTACAATATGATTTTCGATGTGATCACTGTAGATTCTCTAACATGATGATGATTTTTGATCGGAGAATCATCGAGTGCATTCTTGGGGAGTGATTAGATATCTGTACATAGGAATGCGATACAATGATAACAATACAGTGATAAAATTGATAGTTGATGGACACTTTCTCAAACATTTCCAGCCGTGCAAGCAACACAGCGGTGTGAGCGATAGGTTTGAGCAGCTGGGTCTGGAGCTATGCTCTTTTGAGCAGCTTGTCTGCAAAGAGAAATCAAAATGAGAAAAGAATTCAGCCTTTGCAATTGGAAAGACTCGCCTGAGCTTCTCCTGGAGTCCATTGATTTTCCGAAAAAACCGTCGAATGGTTGCCAGAGGACATTCTTTTTGAATTCAATTGAACAGGTCTTTTGCCTCTCGGAAGTTATTGCAGGTATAGCTCAGCAAACGAAATTCTAAATTAGTTTTGGATGTGTCCGGATGGTCAGCGATCGAATCGAGGTTTATTGATGTTTGATTGAAACAAGAAACTTCCACTTACTTGTTTTGATCAAGCACCAATAAAGCTCAATCGGATTGAGCTTGCAATGGAATTTGGGCAAAAAGATACAGAGATGGCCAGCGTTTTCTATGATATTCTGTATAATTGGTTTTTCTTCAGCAAAGTCCGATTGGGCGGATATAATGGTGAACCAACAGCAGTCTTTTGGTTGATCAGACAGGAGTTCTGGTGGCTCAGGGAACTCCTCACCTGATTCGCCTTCCATTGAGTTAACTGCTTCTTTGAGGATACACTCAGCTTGGGTGATTTTATCTTTAGCAAGACCAGATCGTTTGCAGTCTTCACACTTCAATTTGAGAGGCAAAAGTTGTTTCGACTTTCTTTGATCTTCATGGTAGGTCCATAGACCACGCTCGATTAAGACCTGTTTGATACCTTTTGACTTCCCAGCAAGCTTTCCATCTGAGTAATCGGAAGGAAAAACCATGGACTGCGGGAGTCCACACAGCTCGATTGGAATGTTGGGATTGTCACTTGGTATCACAGTGTCTCGAAGTTGTGGTTTTGCACCCCCAGTACCGAGGATCATGTTTGCAGCTCGAAGAGAATTCTCGCCAAATGATTCGTGGGCGGATGAGCAGTCGAATACATAGAGAGCTTGAGCACCAGGATGGAGTGCCTCGAAAATTGGAATTGCCCGAAATTCGATCTGATGCATGAGCTGTTTTGAGTCCCACCAGGGATCCGAATTTTTTCCTGGAGTGATGATCACGGCAGCATCTTTCTCTTGAAGATCAGTCATATGATCTGGAGGTATTACGAGTCTACCAGTTGTTTCACAAATAAAGTCAGAGATGTGAATCAACTTTCCAAGACTTTTCGAGCGTAGGTCGCAGTCCTTGGGTTGAGCCCAGTGTGTTGAAGATTCTTCATTTGCATGAATTGTTGACTCGTCGTGGTAAACTCTAACAAGCTCTCTAGCTGAGCCACTCAAGTTGGGTTCAGTAATTTTGTCAAGATTGTCTCCGGCATAAGTCTTTGAATTTTTACATAGCTCATCAATCTGTTTTAAGTATTTATGTCGGTAGAGAACTACATCAGCTTGTTCATGTCCGTCGTAATACAAGCATTTGCTGTATGCTTTGACACTAAAATTAAGCTTATGCATCCATCGGTTTGCTGTAGTTCTACAAATTGTTTTTTGGTATTCAGGAAAGGAAGGGAGAATTATCGAGTTGACTTGATGAGCAAGACTTGCTGGTGTCACCTAAGATGTAGCATCAAATCAAAAGGTTTAGTTGATGTTGACGGACTCTTCAATCATAGAAGCGAAAACATTACCTTTCCTACTCTCACAGTGGCAATCCAATCGGTGATTGCTTTCAAGAAGCCCATGTTGTCAAGCATACAGCTGTGCACAGTCAATTTCCCGCGGTTTTCTTCAGGCAGACGTTGATGGAGGATCACAAATGCAGCAAGCTGTCGAATTTTGCGAGCATGGTGTACTCCAGCCCCTTCCCAGTCCGGATCTGAGTTTTGTTGTTGGCGCATAGAGCACATGGCTGTCTCAATTGAGGCCGGTATTGAGGCGGTTTTTGAACTCTCTAGTTCGAGCTTCTTCCTCAAGAAGTTGAACTCTCTCAATTCTTCAAGCTGATGTGATCGATTGATAATCTCTTTGATTGAACCAGGATGAAGCTCGTGATATGCGTTTGCTGCTTGGTGTGAGTTGTCTAGCTCGAGGTATCGATGGTTGATGTCCTCCATCTGACGCTCAGTCTTGGGAGGTTTAGTGGCCGGAATCGCTGGAATCGCTGGAATCGCTGGAATCGCTGGAGTGGCTGGAGTGGTTAAAGTTAGAGTGGTTGGGACAGGAGGAGTGGTTTCCTCGAGCTCCTGAGACTTTATCAGATTGATCTTGACTTCTTCGCGCTCACGGCGAGCTCTTTTGGCCTTATTGATGGCCATCTTGATGGTCAACAGAGTAGATATGCGAGGAAATACAAGGATTGGTATATACATATATATTTTCCCATTGTAATTTATTTTTTTATTTAATTACACCAAAGGGCCCGCCATCTTTTGGAAAAACACCCGACCCGAGGCTCGTTGAGTCTTGATGGTAACAACTATACAACTTCTATCAAAGGAATACCCCGGGTTCCCAGCGCTCATCATGTTGGGATAAAGGTTATATCAGAAGCCATGTCTTAGAAACCACATCCAATGCAATTGCTCTCAATGGACACCTGGGTTTCTTGAATCCAGGCCTCGCAGTTTAGAGGAGTGTCTTTGTACCCCTTCCAGTCATGGTCGCAGTCAATCTGAAAGGGTACAAATGTGCTATCTCATTTACAAGCTAAACGCATCTTTGGCGTTAAATTGGACAAACAAGAGCACCGTGAAACGTCTGCTTAAGGTTAAAGTCTATGTTCTTCAAAATCACAGTAAATGAAACTGGTCTACAAGAAATATGACGTTAAGACAATAATTTAACACATCAATACTCGGCTAGGATCAACCCAGCTGCACCCATACCCGTACCAATGCACATTGAAGTCACAAGGACTTTCCCGCGCCTTCTTCTAAGCTCATGTAAACCTGTGGCAACTTGACGGGCACCAGTACAGCCCAACGGGTGACCAAGCGCTATAGCACCACCATTGACATTGACCTTTTCAAGAGGGATTTGTAATTTTTGGACGCAATAAACGTACATCGATGCAAACGCCTCATTGCTAATACAAAGCACAAAAGGATCCACATCAGACTTCCACATTGTAAACTGAGCTCCCGGTAGAGCAAAAGATCATACACTTACATTTCAAACAGATCAATGTCTTCAATACCTAATCCAAGCTTTTCAAGCAGTTTAGGAATCGCCAGACTAGGTCCAATACCCATGATTCTAGGCGGTAGACCAACAACTTGAGTGTTGACATATTTAGCCAGAATCTTGCATTTTAATTCTTCTGCTTTTCTTCTGGACATCAATAATACCACAGCACCACCATCCGTGATCTGAGAAGCATTCCCGCCAGTCGTATGAGAAGGAGGCCATTGAGGGAATGCGGCTCGGATCTTAGCTAGCTGTTGAGCTACAGGTTGTGAAATATCCCTTGTTGGGTGAGCTGATCTCCACGATGATAGTCTTTGAAAAACGAAGTACGAACCCGTCGTTCCGTGCCTGATCCCATCATCAATAGAGATGATTTTCTTTTCACGCTTTATAGACCCGGCATCGCCATTGCCTTGAGAAGGGGCCACATAGGCCTCCAAAGGCATGCTTACAAATGGTGGGTTTGAATATCTTATGAGACACATAGAAGCGATCGAGAAAAAAAGATAAGGCTAGAAAAATTACATTTCTTCCTGGAATAATCCACTGGATTGAGCTCGAGAAGCACGTTGATGGGACATGAGTGCAAACTCGTCCATTTTCTCTCGGGTGATTTTGAAGTCATTGGCCACATTCTCCGAAGTCCATCCCATGGGCTGAAAATACACATCAAACAATGCGATTTGAACATTAGTATCTTTTGAAAGATCAATCGGTTATGAAAATGAAAACTTACAAAAACACAGTCTGCTGCGGCAGCATGGTCCATGACATCCTTAGAAAACCCCCCTTCAGGAATTCCTCGATCTGGACTGGAGAGAATGAAGCGTCAATTCATTGTTTGTATCGCTTCAATGAGACGAAAAAATCTAGATTCGAAACAATGACTCACTTCGCTGACATATGTTCAAACCCAATTGCCAATCCGCACTCAATATCTCCATTTTTAATCTGATTGGCCACACCACTGACAGCCATCAAACCGCTCGAACAAAACCGATTGATGATTTGTACGGGAGTACTCTCGGCAAAGCCGGCAGCCAAGCAAGCTGCCCTAGCTTGGTAAGCTGCACCCGGCGTCAAAACAGTACCTACGGTGATATCTTCAATCTGCTCTGGGGGCATTTGTATTCGGTCGATTGTGGCCCGTAAGGTTGATAATAAAAGTTCGTCTGATGACATGTCTTTGAACCCTCCTTTTTTGGCCTTGCACATCGGTGTACGCATTGCCATGGTGATTACAACTGTTTGAAAACCCGTCCTTCTCTAAGTTATCAACTTAAATTGTGATATTGGTAAGCTGACTCACTATCATCGGGACTCTTGGCTTGTAATCGACTGAGTGGTGTTCCTCGTACATGATTAATCTATTTAATTGTAAGGATCAAAAGGCGTCTCGACGAGCATTGGAAGGGGATCGGAGTCACACATGGGTCAATCACATACTATTTGATGAATCCTGTCGGTCATTCTCGAGAAGCGTCAATCTCTGAGGTTGGTTGGTTGACAATTCTGATCGAATCCGATGGAATGGAAATTCGATGGAATGGAAATTTAATGGAATGGCTGAGGATCGACAAGTTGATCGGTGACATCAGTGACATCATCGGGTCACAATGGTCGAAGCACAGACCGTGGTGTAGGATCCGGTACCAGTATACCTTGAGTACCGGGTCCATATATTTGTGCTCACGGTTCATCCCATCTTTTCATGGAATTAAGCAGGTGCGCCTTTGGGCACCCGTCACATTCCTTTAAAACTTCTGGTCATCTCCTTTCGACATTTTGATGAAAAACTCTTACCGTACGATACCGACTCGTTATGATAACATTATTCGAATCGGGTCTGACATGCGATCAAAGATCAAATATGCTGGACTGATTGACCTAACATACATAATGTTTCTTGGCTCTTATCGAATGCGAAAGTTTCAGATCACGAAAGTTCAAAGTACACAGAGATGAAAATTCACGTTCTTGCGACTGGTTGGATGCGTGTTGGAATAGAGAGTCCAGTTTGCTTGTTCTATTGTCAAACTTATCTCCAATTAGCTCAACAACTGAACTTACATATACAGCGTTTGTTGAGTGAACAAAGTCAAACACTTATCGCATCGAAAAATCCTTCAGCTAAAGACGTGTGCAAGCAAATGACTTGATATAAAGTTTGGAAACTTGATCGATGTGAACAAAAGTGATTCATTTTTGTTGGGTAGTCGAACTCGACATGATCCTTATCATTTTTTTCGCGCTCCGAGATGTCTTGCAATTACAGAGCATACCGATTTGATTTGAAACCCAGAAAATGATATCCTTCTGCCAAAGAAATTGACCAACCAAAACATCAAAATGCTGACGGCAGTGCAAATGACAAACAAGTCATAAACTCCAAGTTTTGAAGGATATAACATTCATCTTCACCAACAAAGTTTGTAAACTTGATTGGTATGAACAGAAGTGGTCCATGTTTTTGGGTAGTTGGACTTGAAGTGATCATTATTGATTTTTTTGTGCTCCGAGATATAACACAGACATTATTTACACGGACCGAAAAAAATCAAAGGCTGTATAAAAGTACAAAAAATAGGCCATTTTTTCGAATTTTACACCAGGTCTGTTGTACACCGGGTGGGTCGGTGTAAAGCGGCCGGTGTAAAACTCACCTCCCCGATTTTGATGACCGTCAGTCGCTTAGAAGTGATTCCAGATGGAGCGATGATCAAAGTAGGATGTATTCAAGAATCTGACGCTGTAGAACCACAAAGCGAAGTCTATGTAGAACGTGCTCTAGAAGGTCTAGGATTGTGAGTCGAATCACAATTCTTTAACTTAATAGCTTTTCTTTCTGAGAGGTGAAATCTTAGATTCATTCGTTAAAAGATGATTAAAATTCTAATCCGAACTTACTGTTCTCTTTGTTTCTTAGAGCTGGGAATAATAAAAACACGAAATCATTCGAAGGCATGATGAAAAAAGAAGTTTCAGTAAAGAACTCATTTCTGCACATTTTTTTTGGCTTTTTTACACATTATTATTTTGTTTTCAAATCCAACATATAAACTATTAATCTTTGTATGATGTTATAGCCATAATATTAAGAGAGTTGATGAGGCTTCCACTGTCGATGAATGCCATCAAAGGGGGTAAAAATCTTATCTTGCAATCTAAAACCATGTCATCTTTCCTGCACAAAGCCTCAATCGAGTCCAACAATCCAACTATGGATGGTTATGTGCGCTTTCTAGTGTCTATAAAAGGTACCCAAGGCAGCAAGCGAGCATGACCGGCGCTTGGAGTGGAAGGTCTTCATGACTGAGTCATGCCTGACGAGAATAGGCCTCGCCAGTATTGATGTTTCATTGCCCTCGTGCTTCAGCGAGACTTTACACCAGCTCGCGCTGTTCAGATGCTTTTGAGTCAGCGTATATAAATTAGCTCCTAGACATCTAGATCTTCAGAAACTTCACCTGCCTCTTCTTCCGTACTGGCCCACCATACCATCAAGACAATCGCCTGCATCAATTTCGGTTTGGCTGAGTGCTTCCCTCAGTTAAATCAAAGATTTTATATCCCGTAGCAAAACCGAGAGATTACAAAATTCTCCTATACTTAATTATGATCAAATACTGAGAAGATTTAAACCTTTCGCCAAATAATGTCGCGCTCTCTCTTGAAATCTAATTCGCACGTTGAGCTACATCCATGAAACATCTTGAATTTGCTGAAGACTTTCAGCTGACTTGCTGTTCTTAGACCCTTTCAAGTTGAACTTTTCGTGATTTTATTACACGCTATAAATTCAATCAAGTTAGTTAAAGATGTAGTCTACTTTGATGATTTGAATATCTTACAATCTTATCAAGTCCATTGGATTATCAAGTCCATTCGATTATCAAGTCCATTCCACTTGATATGCTCTATTCAGAATACAGACGAATGATCAGGTTGTAAATATGTTTGAGAAATTCGATCGTAGAATCAATTTTTGATGTTGGATTGCTTACAAAATTTGTGATTGAACAAAGGGTACTCTAAATGTACAGTTCATTGAGACTCAAGTTTCTCAATGTGATCCCCTCGCGATGAGATTGTTGATAACTTCAGCTGGGGAATTGTAGGCCGGCTGATTTTTTAGCATTCAATCAGTTTTGATCCTGTTTTTGACAGTTTGAAGGGGGAAAGCAGTGGACTTACTCACTTGAACGGCAGCGGAAGTTATGGTTGAAAAACCGATTGAAGAAAAGACAGATATACACTTCACCGATCTAGTCATAATTATTGCAATACGTCGGCATCATCTTAACCCGGAAGGTAGAATGGGAGATTTAATTCCAGCTATCACCTCACCATTGTTGATTGTGACAGATCACTTACGAAGAGATGCTTCTGAAAATGAAGTGGATTGAGGATACTGTTCAAATGGGCCTGTGGTCAGATACATTTCACCGCAGAGTCTTCGGATAAGCCTTTTCCATGGCGGAGCTTGTCTCGTGTTTTTCTTTATACTGTAGAGGGACTTACTAGGAGAAATCGGAAGAGTTGTCGAACTGATTATGTAATTCAATCGATGGCACCATAGCTTTCTTCGGAGTCATTCAATCCATCTTATTAGGGCAAGCTTTGGACTGCATCAGCTTGCACTTTAGTGAAGAGAAAGCATGATGTTGCCTATAAGGTTGGGATCAGCCTGTAATCTTAACGCAAGCTTGTGTTGAAGCTGCTTCCACTGAACAGAAAAGGATAATTAACAAAACTTTAGGAATTTCCTCAGAGGTTGTTGTATACTAAGAGCCACAATGAATGATCGGCATAGTGTCTAAACATACAGAGAAAAGCAGGTTTGTTAGCATACAGTACCGTCAAGGAGCAAAGATGGGGCTACTGAACACGAGAAATAAAACATTACAATACATTTCAAATACAATCATCCTAAGTATATGATAACATTTCTGAGAAAGGTCACGTGTGGATCAGCTTCAAAGCTGTATGTATCGGGTACAAATATCCTAACTTTCTCTCATTGCTGTTCTTCTCCATCCGAACTCTCTACCACCACCACAAGATTATACTTTCCATAAACTTTTTTCACTACCTCTTGAATCCTTCCCACTCCTCTTCAACTTCCTTGTCATCATGAATCTCCCCAAGTTAACTTTTAAAAAGATCTTCGGTCCTCGTTTTCAAAAAACCCTCTTTGTTTACTTCCCGTTGAACTTCTTCTTTGTTATCTTTTTGATTTTTGGCACTCAAAAGATCTCTCCTCGCAAAGTTCCAGCGTCGTTCATCCTTAAACTCATCGCTAAAAAATTGTACATCATTCTTCCTTGGGCTTATTTCCATTCTCATGTTCTTTACTCTCGCTACGACACTCTTCCAAAGAAGTGTTCGACTATTCCTGAGAAAGATATCGAACTCGGTCCAGTAGCTCCTCTTCCGAAACCTCTCGATGCTCCAATCCCCCTTCCAGCCGAATTTGTTGAAATTGATCTACGTATGTTATCTTTCCTACAGTTCTTCCTTCTCATGATTTTATAAACCAGTCTAACAAACTCTTCCTGAATTGACAATTGCTTCTAGGTGAAGGTCCCTCAAACTGCGGTCTTCCCGGTCCTCCTCGACCTTTCTTAACGTGTGAAGTTTGAAGAGCTCAACTTGATTTCATCTCGGTATGTTATCTCTGCCTTCATTTGTCATCTATTCATCTTTTCTGAGCGCAAATCCATTATGTATCTTGATTTATCTAATCATTTTGACTCTTCCCAATTCTCTTGTGACTTGGCAGGCGACATGTTCCTCAATCAATCTCCTTATCTCAAAGTCTTTTTTTGTGACCATTCCATTCTCTCGTTTGAAATGTGTTTTTCTTGTTATTGTTTTGCGATGATGAGTAGGAGTTTACTTTTTGAATATTCGTATCGAGTCATTGCCGATATTTGAATCAATTAGTACTTTGAATACCCTCACTCTGAGCTCCTTTACTTCTATTCTTCAATCAAATTTGTAATCAAAAGATATATCAACATCTCTTTTCAAATGTCTTGAAGTGGCCGAATGAATAGGGATTCAAAGATACCAAAGTAGCAGCTCACTTCCCTCATCATATGGCTATTATCGTGGGAATTGGCTTGTGTGAAGCTCGACATCTTCAGAGAGTTTTTTTGTTTCTCTACCGTCACCAAGAAAGATATCGAGCTTAGTCCAGTAGCTCCTCCTCCATAGCTTTTGATGCTATGATTTCCACTCTTCCAAACTAAACTCCCCAGAAGACGCCTCCACATGAGTTTGCTGAAGTCTCTAGGTATGTATACCTTCTTTTGTTACTGAGTTTGCTTCTTATTGATCATTTTCAGATGTTTTCCTTCTCCATCATTCTTTTTAGGCAAGAGTCCCTCAAGCTACGGCTTTCCTGGTCCTCCTCAACCTTTTCTAACATACACAGTGTAAAAACTCAAGTGTCAGGTCGACGTGCTCACACAAAAGATATCTCGTATAGAGTGGATACGAGCTTCAAATGA